CAAGATGTCGCTCCTCTTCTTCTACATGCGGATCTTTTCGCAGAGTAGTATCAAGAAACTCATCTGGGGCACCATCGGATTCAACGCAGTATTCGGCCTCACCTTTATCTTTGTCGCCATCTTCCAATGCCAACCGATTAGCTTTTACTGGACAAAGTGGGACGGAAACCGCAACGGACAATGCTTGGATATCAACGCCATCGCCTGGGCCAATGCTGGTATCAGTATTGTGTTGGATATCTGGATGCTCGCTCTGCCTCTATCTCAGATCAAGGGCCTGAACTTGCATTGGAAGAAGAAGGTGGGCGTGGCCATGATGTTCTTCGTCGGCACCTTGTAAGTCTTCAAACCGCGCCCATTTCCCCCGAGAATGTTTTCTAACATGACCCCAGTGTTACCGTCGTCAGTATTCTGCGCCTGCAGTCCCTAGTCGCATTCGCAAAGTCCCAGAACCCGACCTGGGATCAATTCGAAGTCGCAACCTGGTCCACCGTCGAAATCAACGTGGGCATCATCTGCGCCTGCATGCCCTCAATACGTGTCATCCTCGTCGGCTTCTTTCCCAAGTTGCTGGGCACGACACGGCGCGGCACATCCGCAGCAGCCAAGTACTACATCCAATCGAGCGGCAACGGCCGCAGCCGGAACAGGACGCTGGGCAACGATGCCAAGGTCAGGACCGTCGATCGCGACTCGGGGCTCTCGAGCAGCCCGAACGGCATCATCTACACCAAGGAGTACACTGTGGACTATCACGACGAGACGAGCTTGGTTCACATGCGGGAGTTGGAAGCGGGCAGCTCAAGGACAGGGAGGACGGGACGAAACGGATCCCCGTTCTGATTTTCCTTGGTTATTTCTCCTTTGTTACTAACGGAATTTTGGCTCGAAGTCTGCGCTTGCAACGAGTTGTATGACACACTATGTTTTTTTGGATACCACAATAGCGTGAGGGACTACCAGAAGGTATGCCCAATGGTAATTGACTTAATCGACTCACCGAAAGATCTCCCTACGGAATTTATGGCCCGAATTAGTGCGAAAATGTTCCGAAAACCACGAGATCGTCCGTTCGACGGCGGTTGATCCTTCAACAACGAACCGCTCGGACCCCTTCTTTGATCGTGTGATTGAGATGGCCCCCGCGCAAGCAGCGTCCCTAAACAAGCAGAACTTCGGACTTGAACCTGAGAACGGGAATAGTGGCTTCTTGGCCGGCTATCACAACCGAGTTCTCGACCGCCAATTCCAAGTTCCTTCACCTCATCGTCGGTGGTTGAATCCATTTCGGACACCCTTCCAAGGTCGTTGCCCTTGTACAAGGGGCTGGTGGTTGTCCAGGGCCCCCAATGACACCCATTTCCACTCGGAGAGATACCTCGACATTTGGCTCCGCACACACTCAGCCGGATTGAGTCCTTCTCAGGGCCATGAGCGGGCCGTGGGCGGATGCACTGTCAACGTGGTCTTGGCCTAGGACAGATAAGCCCATTGTTCGCTATCCGCTCTCGCCTTAGCCTCTTGCCTAATGTGGCACTCGTTACCCTTCCAGAGCTTACGCGATATCTTGTAGCGATTGTACATCCAGCCGGTTTGGCTACAGTTTTGGGTTAACGTTCATTCTCTACAGGTCTAGTGGGGGAGGTAGCCGATGGCTCAACCAGACAGAGGCGGCGTCCCCCGGCAAAGCAACCGGGTGTTATTCTGAAGGCGGGTGTCCGCGTGGCGCATTGCCTGGCGTATGTTACTGGCCAATTGCAGATTGAGCAACGAGGTGTCCCCTTGCCAATGGCAGCTTTGCCCGGATCTGCATTGACGTGTCTCAGTGGGTTGCAGCCAGCAGTTGCCGACGCAACATGTGGTCAACCCTATGGAACCCCCTTGAGAAGCTATTGAAAATAGGTAGATGGGGGTTTGGTGCGGTCTGACCGTTGCGGATCGACATCAGGGGTTAGGAATTTAAGCAATGACTTGAGACGATCTCATCGTCTCTGAGACATCAAGTTGTTGAGTGAGTGGGATAGGGCGCATGCATATTGGTGTCGGTAACTCCATGCGCATTGCGTAAGAGTCTTTCTGTAAGACTCTTTTCAACGATCTGCGCCGAAACCTTGCGTGACGACTTACTTCAGTCGCTGTTTCTGCAATACTCACCTGACGAGAAGACTAAGACTAACGCTCAATAGCATCGGTGATCGAATCTCTTGCTGTAAACCGGCCATGCTTAGTCGAGATCGATAAGACGGAGGATGAGTGATCAAATGGTCAAGAACAGTGGTGATGCTGAATAGGTTGGGAGTCAACTACGCACATATTAAATCTTTTCCTTGCGTCTTCGGCAAGTTTGCTCGCTTCTCGCGGATGTCTGCCACAGGTGCTCCTCAACAAAAGTTTAGCTTTGCAACACTGCCATCCCTGATTTGTGTTGTATAAGAAACTAAGTGTAACGACGGGCAGATTCACTGAGACTCCATGTTATACTAAATAGAATATCGAGCGTCATTATGCATCTACTTACTCAGCGAACTGAATGCACTTCGGAGCATGAAGCGTGCACTATGCGACCCCGATGCGAGGGGCTTCTTCCATTGCCACGCTCTCAAAGTCAATCTTGTCAGCGGGATGAAACGCGCTTGGGGGCCACATCATTTACCAGAATCTCACAACATCTAACGGGGAGATTTCGAGGTTCACCACTTGCGACCTAAGCGATGGGGCATTCTTCAACATCGATGCGACGCTGCGCGCTTGGGAACCATTTGCGCTTTGACCTTTGCGTTTCCAAGACTCTAGTAGACTTCGCTTGCGGGGTTGCATGTAAGTAATAGGTAGAAGGGGCTACACTATTGTCCATGAGGGACACTGGAGTGGGAATATGGATGGTTGTAGTTGTCACTCACCATCGTTTTACGCTTATAGGCTATTATTGAGGCATATCGCGCTTGGAGTTACCATTAGCCGATCGGCTCTTTGGAAACATGTTGCATCGATTTTGTAGTATTGAATGCCTCACTCAAAGTATGAGAGCAGACTTAGTCGGCCCTTCTACTGTCTTGCCCTCAGCCGGATCAAGCTGGGTCTAGGAATGCCAAGCGGCAAGTGATGAGTGCGTTCGTACTCCACTACCTTAAAGTGGTTCATTGTCAACTAAGGAGTACTGCGGTTATATCAATAATCAAAACTAGAGGTTGGTTCCAGTCTATGTGTTGCCCCTGACTGCAGATGCGTACTGTAGACGCTGCCGTACCCTTGTTTGCCTTAACGCGGTTCGCCTTGGTCTAGCTCTTCGGAAAATCTTCAATAGCTACTTTTCCGCTGAAGGTCATCGGAGCGATCAAGTCGAGCCTTCACCATGTGTGTGTGTGTTCTTCTATGAAGACACCAGTGCATTCGTCTAAGACAGTTCTCTCGCAACACTGAGGCGTGACGCGTGAAGTTTCCCAGCCACAGACATTCAAGTATACATACTTGAACAAACAAGTCAAGCATCGCGCATTCAAGTAGTTCATCTTAGCATTTCAACTTACGCCACAGTCGCACTTGTCTCAGGCAACCCGGAGTTGTCGACTTCGGACATGAACAGTAGTGTCAAGTGACCATGGGTGACAGAAGGAGTACTCGACAGCTTGAACCGCCAACCGCTGCGAAAGCCAAGCCACAGTTCTCAAGCAAATGGCCAGTATGTGATATCTTTGGTCTTGCAGATACGGCGAGGCTAGCCGGAGCGAACTAGCCGATCGACCGAACCCTTCCTGGAGCCACTTTCCAGTGCGGTGACAAGTGCCGGCTTTAGCTCCTGCTTCGACAATCAAGCTTACTTGTTCTAGCGTCATCCCATCACCGCATTCACCGGCGAAACTAGTCAGTTCAGTCAGTCTACCCCCTCGCGAACCATTTCATGAGTCAGTCGACTCCGATGCGAAGCTAAAGTTGCCCATGAAACTCATCACATCTTCACACTCGAAAATGCGTAAGCGTGGTAGGTCATCAGGAGTAGTTTCACCTGGCAGAGGTTCCGGTCGGTGTAACGGTGAGGAGGAAGCTATATGCAGGGCAAGTACAGCTAGATTCGAGACAGTCCCAGTTGTGAATCAGATGCTGGCGAGTTTCGTGGAAGTCGACGGCAAAGTACAGGTACTCATAAAAACGACATAGAAACTACAAAACTCGCGCTAGCAGATTGAGCTGTGGTTCTCACATCTTTTGGGTCCTCAGGCTCTGCTTCTGGATGAAATGGTCTTATGATTTGGAGTAGGATCTAGAAACACAAAAGTCATTCTCATACCCGATGAGGAAATTCGGGGGACAGAAAATAACAATGGCAACTTACACTACTCACAAATGTAGCGCGGACTTCTGATTGCATTGCATGAGAAAACCCATGGTCATTCATCCTCACTAAACACGATCGAGGTCTTCCCAGCTACTTTCCCCATGCCTCTTACTTCATCAAAGCCTAAGGTATTCAACGTGAATCAAATTATACAGTGGATAGGGCGTTGTAAAATCTGACGGATCAAGGTTAACAACAAAGGCTGCGAAGCTTGCCTGTAAACGTAATAATAGTTGCTGTAAAGCTTGTTTCACGTCATAGTTGCAACTTACTTTGAGCAAGGCCAATCGGATAATAGGCTGTGTCACCACTCACCATTCTCCAACGGAGAGCCAAAAGTTCAGACGATTCTTCATAACATCAAAAAAAGACGACATTCATAAGAAGTATTAGAAAATCCGCGACCAAAGTCTTCGTGGGCAAAACATTGTGATCAGTGGGAGGCTTGAACTCCCGGCCTTGGCATTACACAACATTTCTGGTGACATATTAGTACCACGCTCTAACCAACTGAGCTAACCGACCAATCAGTTGAAGACTTGACCGAGAACTTGTTTTCAAGTACCCCACCTTGACTCCCTTGCCCTCGCTAGGTACTGCATTTTTGTCGTTGAGCGGGATAATGCGATCTTGTACCATTAAGTCACAGGCGGAAATTACTATTTCTCTTGTTCTTGTTGAAATGACTTCAGAAATGGCTTGAGATCCTGTTTGTGGTTGACTAACCGAGACACTCTTGCAAGACCAGATCAACAACTCTAGATACCAGCCTCTAACTCACACCAACTCTATACCTGCAAGTCGCTCCACGAGAACTCCGGTCGCATCCATTCATAAGTGTCCAAGAGATCAAAATTGAAATCTAACTGGGCCGAGAAGTCCCACTCCATGGCATCGCCAGACGGATGGCTGTTCGGTGCCCCGTTGAGCGCCTCATCCAGCACCTGCTGCACAATGGCCATGGTGCTCGCGCAAATGCTGCCCGAGGCCTCAGACGGGCTCACCCACTTGAGGAAGCCGACTAGGAGACTCAGCACCTGCACAATGCCAGATCTGGTGATGACCTTTCCGTTGCTGTCTGTGACAGGAACTCCGCTGTTTGCGAGAGTCAAGGTTGGCTTCAGTAGCTCTAGGCAGAGAATTCCGCCTCCTGGAGCGGCGTATGCCATGACCTAACGAATTCGCGAATGTCAGTCATGGTATTCCATGTGCCTGGAGTTTCTTTGGATTTGACATAGTGTTGAACTCACAAGCCACTTAAAATCCTCACACAAGACACCGAGACTATGCGTGTCAGTCCATAACAGCAACGTTGTCGCTGTCATCTCATAGCTGACCGACAGCAAATCCCGCTTGTTGGAGCAGTCCTGCCGATGTAGAAGTCGCTCGATGAAGAAGAGGTTCTGCAAGTGCTCCAATTGCATGAGCAGCCGCACGTGGAACATCTGTCCAGTGAGACTCGGATTTCGTATGTCGGATTCTTGGAACCGCATGATGGCCGGCATCTCGGGCGCGGCCGCGAACTCTTTCGCTTTCAAAGCACTATAGATTTGACATGGGATTAGTATTTCCTTGGCTTGGACATCTCGTATGGTTCCTCGGCCTCCCACTTACAGCAGAACTTCCACCGATATAGCCGCTTCAGGTCCTAACGCAACCTCAAAGATCTCGTCACGGATGATCATGAGCTTATACCGAGCTCGCCAGAACGTGACCGAGTTCAGCGCCCCGTCGGGGTTCCACCCCGACTTGTCTAGCGATCTCACAGCCTTGTTAATTGTCTCGTCGTCGCATAGCAGGTACTCGTCCCGTATATCGAGCGGCATTGGCGTCAGGATGTACCGGCGACTCAGGGCGGGCGGTCGCCCCGTGATCGCCGAGCCGACCTTGTCGAGGACGAAAATCTTCACGAGGAGTCGTCTCCGCAGCTCGGTTGCCAGGGTCGGTTTATAGGGCCCCTTGTTCTGTTCGACGTGCAGGCCGAGGAAGGTGAGGAGTGAGACCGTCTCCCCTTTTGTCATCCATGTTGAGCGACCTGTGCCACACGTCAGCCGCCTGCCCATAAAGATTACATGCCTGGAATAGGGGCCGAGAAGTGGCATATTAGCAGTAACTTACTAGTATCTCCATCAACGACAGACTCAATAATCATCCGTCTGAAGTAAAGATATAGCAATAGCGTGTTTCCAACCTCATTAGCCTGCCTTGCCAAAGTAATGCAGTCAAAGATACACTTCCTGAAAACATTCTTCTGCCCGTACCCCATTTTTCCAACCTCCGTCCTCGGAAGCTGCTCATTTCGAAGCTTCATCTCCCAATAAATGAATAAAAGCCCCAGCGTCTCCCACCTTAAGTTCTCCTTCGTAAACTGGGCCATCCATAAATCGGGATCAGGCTCGTGCTCGAAGAACGGCCGGGACGAGTTATAGCACAGCCGCCGCGCGAATTCGGACAGCTGCGCATCGTCCCGGGTCGTGTTACTGAGATAGTGTCCGAAAGTACCATACAGCGAGTCCAGGGCCCGCACGGCGACGGGGTGGATGAAGGCATTGTGCGGGTCAAAGTGTGAGTCAAAGAGCGCCCGGCCCTGGCGTTCGTCGGGGACCAAACGGAGAATGAAGAGGCACGTCTCCAGCGTCCTGGCATCTTCGGAGAGAACAATGGTCGACCTGGCTTCCCGGCCGGTGGTGGAAGTGGATCGGACCTCCTTCTCGGCGTGTGCGTCGTGGCCGGAGAGCCCGTTGCCAACTTCCTTATACACGTCGCTCCAGGACATGAAGCCGAGGTGGCCGGATACGCTCTCCGGCGCAACGGCCTCGCGACCCGGAGCACACTGCCCCTGTGTCTCCGTTTCCGTCACAACAGGGCTAATTTCAGACTGCTGGTCAACTAGAGTGGACGCTGTTGCAGGCTGATATTGCCGCTCACTATGTTCGGCGCCCGTCTCCGAGCACGTTACACTTGCTGAACCAGACGTCCGTTCCGAGACAGCATGAGGAGCTCCTGGCCGCATCTACGCCGGCGTATTCATTGTGAACTCGCACGGTTCCGTTCGCCTCCTTCTCTTGCAGTTACTGCAAACCGGGCGAGCGTGATCGCATGCGACTTTGCGACGGCGACAGGGGTCGCATGCTTGAAGCCGACCGTTCTTTCGGTAGCGGAGTGGTGAAGACGCAGACTCCATAATGAATGCCGAAGTCCACAGGGAAGCCGAAAAGAAGATCAAAACAATACCAACAAACTTCAATCTCGGGTTGAATAGCCTTCCAAGTTTTCAATTGTGCTAGATATTTCTCATTCACGATTGTATTCGGCGAGATCATGGGGAAATGAAAGCGAAGAAGCCGAACTTCCTGAGTCTTACCGAATATCTAACCGAACAAATCTGACAAAGTTCGGCTTCGGATGGTCTCCGCAGTCTCGGGAAGAGCCTAACCGCGAACGGCAAACAGCCGATTCCATGTTCATTCGTCCACTTTCCGCTTTCCGCAGTTTTCTTCCCCCTCCACCTATGAAGATGAACTATGAAGTACTTAATTGCTGTTAGACCGTAGGCACAACTCAACTTTCCGGGGCTCAGTCCGTTTAAGAAGGCCTCCACATCGTCGACTGGGCTCAGCGATGATGGGGAAACCTCCTCCGACGTCGATTGCGCCTTATGGGGCGGCAACTCATCATGACTTGTGTCAATCAACCCCTCCCGACGCCGGCGCACAAGTTGCCGTTTGGAAAAAGAGGCTGCTCACAGGAGCGATGCCATTTGTGTTTCAAAACGAGGGATGCATTACAAACCATTACGCCTACTCCTGAGTTGTTGCAATCGATTTTTTTCACTCATTTCTGTTAGAATGTACTAGAAGTGCCTTCAAGTTCCTTATGGCATTACTTCGAGTTCCCAGTGGTTCGCTGTCATGTCTTTCAACAATCGCATCTCCAACGATGCATTTCCGCATTCGGAACCCTCTTCCGAGGTAAGCACGGCAACGCAACAGAAAGAGACCACAGTCGTCAACGAGAGTGAAGGTGTCGAGATCGAATCACGTCCTCAAGATGGCGGCCGTCTGGCATGGCTTCAGGTTGCGGGCTCATTCTTCCTATTTTTCAACACATGGTCAGTAGTCTTCCCTCCAATCTTGTCGGCAACGACCTGTTGCTAAGAAGCAATTCACAACTAACTTCCGCCGCAGGGGTATCTTGAGTTCCAACGGCGTCTTCCAAGCATATTACCAAGAAAACATGAAGCATGTGCCCGCCGACTCAATAGCCTGGATCGGCTCTATCCAGTCCTCCCTCCTCCTTTTCACCGGCGTACTTGTCGGCCCCCTCTACGACGCAGATTACTTCCGTAGCCTCACCTTCACAGGCATCACCCTCATCTTCCTCGGCATGACCATGACTAGCATCGCGACGGCGTACTGGCAGGTCCTTCTCGCACAAGCATTCTGTGTCGGCCTGGGCTCCGGGTGCATCTATATCCCCTCCGTCTCCATCATCCCGCAGTACTTTTCTGAGCGCCGCGCACTCGCCACAGGCATCGTCGCCACAGGCAGCTCCCTCGGTGGTGTCGTGTACTCACTGATCTTCCAGAGCCTGTACCCGCGCGTGGGCTTCCCCTGGGCGACGCGGGTCCTCGCCTTCATCTCCCTCGCTACAAACGCGTTTGCCTTCAGCGTCCTACGGCAGCGTCGCAGGGTCGACTCTGAGTCCGATGATGAAGGCGCCGGGAAGCGGAAGCGCCGCGTCATGTTGGATCTTTCTGCGTACCGAAACGTCTCGTTTGTCGTCTTTTCCGCAGCCATGTTCTTCAACTTCTTCTCGTACATGGCGCCCATCTACTATCTTCAACAATACTCCCTCGCACACGGCCTATCAAGCCCAGGCTCTTCGAAACTAGCGTATTACCTAGTCGCGATTCTCAACGCGGGCTCGATCCTCGGCAGAGTCTTCCCCGCCTGGCTCGCCGGCCACTTTGGACCCATCAATGTTCTCCTCAGTGTCTCGGAGACACTGTCTCCGTCTCCATCGCCGCCGTTGCGCTGAGCTGGCTGGCCGTGCATGACGCCGCGGGCAGCGTCGCTTTTGCCCTCGCCTACGGCTTCGCCTCTGGTAGGCTCGTCTCGCTTCCGCCTACCGTCATCTCGAGTCTCGTGCCTGACCTCAGCTTGCACGGCACGTGGCTGGGAATGCTGTGCACAACCAATGCGTTCGGATCATTAGCTGGACCGCCGATCGCGGGTGTCTTGCTCCAAGCTACTGGTGGTTACCTGGGTGTGCAGTTGCTATCGGGACTCGGCATGGTGGCAATGACGATATTGATGTTGGCTTTGAGAGTTACGCTTGTCGGCAAGCAGCAGTCTTGGAAGGTATAAGCAACGTAAGGCTCACTGATGTGAGGTCAGACTCCCTTTTCCAGTTGGGAAGCAAACTAAGGCCATGCCGATTTTCTCGGGAAAGGTTGGACGTAACGCCTCCCAACACGAAAAGGTTATTAACTAATGTATACACTACAGCAATGATAACATGAATCACAACACATACTCGTAAATTGAAGCCATGACAACGTCTAGTAGTCGTTGCTCGCAGTTCCGTTCAGTAGAGATCAGCTCTAGTTTATTAGACTACTCACATGCTGCGTTTACTTGTAGACATTGTAAAGATCAGATCTTTCCCAGATTACGCGGCGCCTCGGTTGCTGGTCCCTCTGGGGTCACATAAGCCTTAGTCAATCCGCCATCCACAACCATGTCATGTGCGTTTACGAAGCTGCTCCCGTCACTGGCGAGGAAAACAGCTGATTGCGCTTGCTCGATGGCCTCGCCGAAGCGACCGGTGGGAAAGTGTACCTCTCTCCGGAACCGCTTGGCACGGTCGTCGCCCAAGAAGTCCTGAAGCATGGGAGTGCTGTGGCTGACATGTTAGTGGCTGACGTTCAGATTCTTTCTTGCGAAGGAGAGGGGTTGAAAACCATACTTCAATGGCGCCGGGCAAATGGTGTTGAAGCGGTAACCTGCGACTTGTCAGCAGGCTGGCAAGATCCATCGATATCTCCGACTTTTTGCACGAGTCACTTTATGAGAAGATTGCTTTTCTCACCTTCTCTGGCATGAACAATTGCCAGCTCCCGAGTCAGGGCCATGACCGCACCCTTGCTCGCGGTATACGCCAACTGCGGCGTGGCTGATCCGACGATGGCGACCATGCTGGCGGTGTTGATGACGCTACCCTTTGTCTTGCCGTGCTTCCGGAGGGACCTCACTGCATGCTTGTTTCCGTACCAGACGCCCTTGACGTTGATGTCAAACGTCTTGTCCCAGATTTCGGAGGGGCACTCGTGCGCGTCGCCGTCACGGGGGTGCATGATGCCAGCGTTGTTGAAGATGACGTCGAGGCCGCCCCAGCTGTCTAGGTGATTGACGGCCTGTTCGACTTCGGACTCGTTTAAGACGTCTACGACGCGAGTTTCGAGATGTCCGGAAGAGTTTGCTACGACGTCTCTCACTCGTTCGAGCGCCTTGTCGAGGATTTCTTGATTGAGATCTGTCATTAGGATGGAGGCACCCTCTCTCAGCATGAGAATTGAAGCCTCTAGCCCAATACCACTATAGATATCTGTCGCAAAAACGACGCCGTTAATTACGGGCAGCAATTAACGCCATAAATATCCTACGACAATATCATATGAGTACATTCAGTTTTGAAGAAAATACATTCTACTCCCTTCTAGATGACGATAGAATATAGTAGGCTTACCCAGCGGCACCAGTGATAATGATATTCTTTCCTTCTAGTCTTCCGGGCATATTGGCTGTTCGAAAGAGATCGTGAGGGAACGGATTGGTTGCAATTTCTAGAGACTAAAGGAGGTGAAAACTCTTTGTGGGCCTCAATGTATAGGGAAGACAGAATACTCTCAACGCCTTGTGGAATTTGGCTTGGGATAAATAAGCTGAAATACCGTCATAACCAATGCGATCTTGTGGAGTTTGGAGACTGTTTACCGCTTCCAATATCTCTGGACCGCTGCTACTGGGTGATCCGATAAACCTACGCTCCTGGCTCTGCCAAACATGCTCCCGGACCGCGTTTACCGAGGCGGCGCTTTTGCCGCCGAGGGGGGCCGCAACCATCTTGATAGACATGGAAACTCCCTCCTAGAGTCCCAATCTCCCCGCTACTGGATACTTCTTTATGAAATAAGCGTATAAAGAGAACTAAGCCAGATGATTGTTTAGATTAACGAAAGAGCCGTGAGCCCTTTGTTCTGAATCTCAATATTGAATATTGTATTCCATTTTAGCATTTGATGAAGTCATATCATATTTAGTAATAGGATCACGATAAATAAATAAAGCAAAATACTTGAGATAGGAACAATGATGAAAAAATAGACAAAAGCACCTCGTAGCGTTGACTGACGGTCTGACTGTGTGACGGTGTCATCGGAGATGATTGGGTCTCGAGACAGTATTGATGTTTTTGAGATTTTGCCGCCGCACCCACGTCTGTATTAGAGTAAAATAGTTCTCATCTACTGTGGTATTGATAGTAAACCCCATCAGCCGCTCCAGCTTGGCAAGCCTCTTGTACCGATTCCCGACTGCCAGCGCATACGGCATACTTAGATCATGCACGTTCAGGGCGTTCGTCCTCAACGACCATGATAACCTTCTGAGTACTCTCCTACCACCTGCTTCAAAAGTCGATGCGCGCTCCAGTACCTAAGTCACACTATAAAAAGTAAATAGCCGTTCATTCATCGTAGTTAGTGAGCGGTCACTTACGCAGTAGACGAACTGTAGGGGAGGTTTGTCAGCATTAGAGTTCATATATAGAAAAGGGAGGTGGAAACTTACACCTCCAGAGCACTGCTGAGAGGTATCCTCCTGGTCACGAATGCTCTGCGGGCTGAAGCATGATCCTCGGAATGTAGGGAATGCTGATGTTTGTTTCGTGGAGCACTTTGGCAATAGTTAGTGTTGGAATAGGCCTACATTAGGCAGCAGGAGGTTGCTGCCGCGGTCCGTTCCAGCCACGGTGGTCCGTGTGGCTCAGCCACACGAGGGTGGTATACCCCAGACTTCCTGCCGCCGCTGGCACCTGGTTAGACTTCCACTCAAGAACAACAAGAACAAGCAATATCACCACTACAGTCGGTGATCGTTGCTACCCACGATACTCGAGTATTTTCCTTTTCCACCTGTGAATCCAACAGTTAGAAATATGTTGCTTGGCAGAACGGCTGCCACTCACGCAGTAGGAGTTTGCTCCTTTTCCCTAGACGCACATATCTGTCAGTGGTTGTATTTCGTTGCAGGTTAGCTTCAGATACTCACGTCACAGGTGTTTCCACTTGCGAGACCTTGTCCACCGTTGCAGTACATCTGCGAAGCACTTGCGGCCAAAGCCTGGGCAAGCAGCGCGGTAACGAGAGAAGCCTTCATGATTATCAATTGAGAAAGAATGTGCTGTGAGAATGAGTTGAGCTGCCGATGAAGTTCATGCTGCAGTGTGAGAGTTTTAATACTAGAAACTAGACTAAGGGTGACATTGGAGAGAACTCGATAATTAGATCTGCCCTGAAACTATGCAATTTGACACGGATTGACTTTGGAACCTTGATAAAGGATAAAGTATGATGTATTAAAAGGCTGACAACAGACCAGCTGCAGAGTCATGTGCAGTGACATTCAATCTACTTAAAGCCGGGACTCGGGCGGGTATCTAGGCCTCCCGTCGGCTTGGGGCCAACATCCGTCTGTGCTGATCGCCTGACACCAGCCTGGTGGGTCGTTAAGCTTCTTATCCTGACCGCTGAAAGAGCCATCAGCCTATCTAGCCCAGGCGAAAGATATGGAGTGTTACTAAGTGAGTTGCAGGGGATGCAAGATTGGGGCAGGAAATGAATAGTAAACCGGCCGGTGGGATGACAAGTCAAGCCGAATGAACACGACTCAGTACTAAAGGATATGTAATCAACGACAATAGGCCAACTTTAGCTACTGCTGTAAATACCAGAGCACCATAGATCCTCCAGCCTGAAGACTTGATTTCACATACCAGTTCGACAAAGAAAACAACGCCACGGCGAGTTTGCGGGTTTGCAGGTTGCGTGGGTGTTCAATCCCGTTTCCACACCCTGAAAGTTGAAATAATGTGTGAAACTCTCGACATCATAACGAGACGGCAAGTTCTGAATTGAACAGAGTATCACTATTATTACGAAGGGGGGGGGGGCAGGTCGCCGTGCCCGGGGAATGACAATACATCACCCGTCGGGTGCGGCGACGGCAGTACGACATAAGTACGTATTTAAATCTCATGAGAGAGAATAGCGAATTATATAATAGTCCGCGGACTACTCTTTATCCGTCAATAGAGTTAGGGGAAAACTGGAGAAGTATATACTGATGTCGACTCGCACCCGGTGGGATGCAGGCTTCGACAATACTTCAGGGATGTGAACGCTATGCGGTGACACCGAGACAGCAAGTAGGCTGGCTCTCTGGCTGTTGAAATAAAGCCAGTCGTGTAGAGCCCTTGCGGCATCTGAGCCGTTGTAATTTCTGTTTCAGCCTGGTGGTATGACTGATGACGCGCCGAAATGGATTGATCCAAAGTCAAGTCACAAACCACACTTTACAATACCACATCAGACTAAGTCGTTGTAATGTCTCGGACAGAGACAGGCGAGTTCCGGACCCTGATCTGCCAAACCTCTGAAATGAGATCCATGTCGGTAGTCAACGGCGCGGCGCCTACAAAGGCACGTCGGGGATGAACAGTACGGCCGAGCGGTACTGATGAAGAGACAGGTTTTTTTGCGTCAACGCAGGCAATCTTTACCAAACCCTGCCACGTAGAATCTCAAGCAAACGAAATCCACAGTTGACGGTCGTTCATCACGCGGCATTTGCTCCACGGTCCCGAGTCGACGATTCCTCCTCCCTTTTTATCACAATCGTCCCATATGTGCTGGAGCAACACCGAAGTCTGACGCATGTTCCCTAGCCCAATAGCAGAGAACGTGTGCTCGAGTCGCTCGCGAAGAAAACTCCGCTGTCCCTCATCCACCACGCAAGAGCCGACTACGGCGATCGGCCAGCAGAGGCTTGTGTTGACCTGGACGTTCGGGGGCAGCTGTGCGAGGCTCGCGAGGGCTTCAGATAAGGCCGCCTGGGTCATTGTCACTGACAGATCGTCATCATCGCGATGACGGTCGCCATCGTCTTGTGAGAGAGGGTAGAGCGTTGTGTACAGGTACAACAGCACTGCTTTTTGATACACGTAGCCGGCGAGAACGATAATCTCAGAACTGACTGCCAGATTCGGTGTCCAGGTCTCTATCTGCCTTTAGAGCTGAGAAAAGACGAAAAAGTCGTTCGCCGAGGGTCGCCAACTCGGGTCTTCTGTATGAGACAACAAGCGGCGGTCGAGTTCGAATATTGATGGTATCAAGAGTAGTAGGTCTAGCCAACAACCACACAGACTACCGACATAGGATGCCGCTACTAGATCTGTCGCCAGCGGTACCAGGTCGCTACTGAGGAACAGCTGGTCATTTACGCGAGCGTCGATGGAGATCATGCTCAACGTTGCCGTATAAACGTAATACTCGGTCAAGAAATCTTGAAGGCCTTTCGGTATTCGGCTGCGGAGAGTTAAAGATGGAAGCAAAAGCGGCTGGGCCGCCATGAGGTGATCGAAGATGGCGCCATTTATATCGCCTTTCGCTGTCTACTGATCCATATGGCTATCAGCGTCTTGTTTGCTATTGAGATGGCCGATGAATAAAAGCGCCGACGCTCTGCGTGTCGTGGAACGAGAAACGAAACAGAGATGGAAGACTGACCTCGATGAAGCATAGAATCAGTGCACCGATGCCCATCGTGAGCTTCTGCTCGAGCGTCTGCCCGCCAATAAAGCTCGAGAGGCTTCGCTGGAATAGACGAATCGACCGGCCGTAGTATTGGTTCGCGACCCGGTCTCCACTGCTCAGACACTTGGACGCCCTATGAACGGCACTCTGCGTCAGGAGCAGCTGCAGCACAAAGTTGCTGCCAAAGGCTAATGGGATTAACTGCACGCAAAAGGGGTTATCCGGCGTCGACCCGTTGGCCATGCTGACCGTCATCACGCCTAGGTAGTGGCTCAGCAAGTCCATCGAGCTGCTGTCAGTGATCCCGGGCAAGAAGGACAGCTGCCTCGGGACCTGAACCCCAGGGCTCGGTAGTGCGCTTAGTGGCGCGACCAAGTTGTCGTCCAGAAGCTCGTTGTCGTGACACTCGTCTGAAGCGGTAGGGAAACAAAGAGGGTCCAGTGCCGCAGCAAAATCGACGGGGCTCTCATGAGCAGAAAGAGGCCCAAGGATGTCGTCCTCTTGGCTCCCGTTAGCAGCATATGACGTCGGCTGGGATCTTGACATCGGCGGCGTCTCGTCGTATGCTTGTGGTGTCGGAGCAACGGCTGTGTTTGCCTCGGGTGACTTGGAGGGCCGAGATGCAGCAGCGGCGGTGCCAGCCCTTTGCCGCGCGGCACTGGGCAAAGGTGCTGCTTCATCCCGTGCCGGATCCCTCCTACGGGTTGCCGGGGCCGGCCATTGACAATCGAACTCGTTGCGTTGGCAGCCGCGACAGCACGGCTTCGTCTCGTCGCACTTCTTCTTGCGGCCGCGGCATGTCAAGCACCCGGTTCGAACGCGAAGGATGGGCCCAGCGAGGGTGCTTCGGTGCCTTGATGACATGGTCGACCTTCCTGCCTTATCAACGCGAAGAGCGTTTGCCTAGGTGCAGATGGGTACGTGTGCCGTGTGAACTAGGCGAATATTGAGCAATGATGAGACTGAGAGGAGAGAAGAGGCCAGAGCTATTGTCTTTGACGTCTTCAATGCTCTAAACGTCGGCGAGAGTGAAATTGTTCAACTGTTTTGGTCCGGGGCCAGGTAACATGAAGGAAAGTAGAAAGTGTGGGGGATCTGCCGAAACTCAACGGCTTGCCATCTCGAACGCGCGATCCGCCGGAGCCGGTGCTGAACCAGCGCCAGCGCGGTAGAGCACGGGATTGGGCCGCTCACGCTGTCTCGACCTTGTCCCGGGAGGCCCTTGCCATCTTGTTTGACTCTCCTTAACGAGGGGAAACAACATGAACGCTTCGATCCTCTCAGCGCCAAAAGCTTAGAGTCAGGAGTAGCTAAATAACCTAGTAGATAGCTCAGCCCCAGTTGATTCACTAAGTACCTTACACGGCGCGGTGGTTGTCACTGGGCAGCATTGGTCTCTAAGCTTATCAAAGGCTCTCAGACAGATTAGTATTCAAGCTGCCTACTTAGGTTGATTCTGTGTAGTTAACTGTATTTGGGTGACCTAGCTAGATAAGTATCAGACAACGTCGACGCCTTGAATTTGACTTACTCGATGTCTCCCTGTTGCCAAATCTATACGCTTCTAACTAAATCATCGAGACTTTCATAGGTTGTGTTACGTTTGCCACTGCCGTTCAACAACACCCTTACAGTCCCATCGAGATAGTCGTCATCTTCCAACATTCGATTGCTCTGGGTGATTAGTTACGAATCGGACTGGCGACGTCTAAGAACTCCGAAAAACCTTCTCGCTATGGTCTTTTCTGGGAATCAGCTTCTCGCTAACCAACTCCTGGTTCGGCATCTCGGCGGCGCTCGTAACGGGGATTAACTCGGGCGGCCCGGTGCAGCTGGTCTACGGCATGATACTAGTCACTGTCGTCTGTGTCGCTGTCGGTATCTCCTTCGCTGAGCTCGCGTCGGCCATGCCACATGCAGGCGGCCAATACTACTGGACAAGCAGGCTGGCCGGTCCGACTTACGCTCGCTTCGCTTCCTATATGACTGGATGGATCGCCTGGGCAGGATCAGTCTTCACCTGCGCCAGCATCGCTCTGTGAGTTGGCAATCTCTGCTTGGGCTGCATTCAGCTGGTTCATCCCGAGTTGTGAGTCTTGCATGAGCTGCTTTCGTTAGCAACAGACGGTAGCTGATATGGAACTGTTAAAGAGTCATCCGCCCTTGATAGTCCTTTGTGAGCTATCAGATTGTCAACCTCTTCTGTTTTGTCTTCAACTTGACCTCGCGCCCTCTACCCTCTATAACGTTTGCAACATTATGGATATCAATTGTTTCCTACCTCGTCATTATCATCACGGTACCCGCAAAGGCAACGGTACATCAAACCCCAAAGTTTGTCTTCACCGAGTTCATCAACAACACAGGCTGGCCAAACGACGGCATAGCCTTCATAGTCGGTCTCATTAACGCAAACTGGGCATTCAACGGCCTCGACTGCGCAGTCCACATGGCCGAAGAGGTTGCCGCGCCCGAAAAGATCATCCCCGTCGCTATCCTCGGAACTATCGGCATCGGCTTCTGCACCGCCTGGACCTTTGGCATCGCCATGATGTTCAGCCTTACAGACTTTGAAAGGGTCGCATCTACTTCGACAGGCATTCCGATCCTGGAGCTCTTTTCCCAGGCGTTAGAGTCGAAAGCAGGCGCAATTATTCTGCTGAGCCTAATCATTCTGACGGGCTGCGGATGTCTGATCGCGTTTAACAGCATGGTCACGGCTTGCGTCGTGTTACTCTACTTATCATACAGCATTCCGGTCGCGTGTCTCCTCGTAAAGGGTCGGTCTTCCATCCGGCAAGGGCCGTTCTGGCTGGGAGAGTTCGGACTCATATGCAACTACGTTCTTTTGGCCTGGGCTCGTCTTCACTCTTGTTGTACGTGTCACCTCTACCCCATGCTGAACTTGTTACCTGCTAATTCTCGTTCCCCTCCGACATGCAGATGTACGCTTTCCCGCCTTTATACCCGGCAACTGCCGACAACATGAATTGTGTTTCTGTGGTTTACGTGATCACGCTCATAGTGGTGGTTGCCTGGTGGTTCTTGAAAGCGCGCTCAGCATATGACCCTGTTACCCCAACCCAGTACAGACCTTTCCCTCTTCGTTGCCTTGTTTTGGGCAGGCGAACAATGCTGACAGGTATGAATAGGACCTTGCTTGGGTTGGTTGGAAGAAATCAGGACTTGGTTGTACGCTGGGACCCAAGGGCTTCGACTTCTTCGTCAAGCTTAAGAGCTACCATATTAAGGACCACCAAGCATAGAGAAGTGTGGCGTCAATACAAATATTCAAGGCGGATGGGATACGCCATGATAGGTCGAGGTTTTTCTGTGTAACTAAAGCCATTAAACCCAATGTTCGCGATGCATACTTAGTTACTTGTGGTTGAAAGAACCTGGCGGCTCTGTTCCGTGAGGTCGAAGCCACAACCAGATGACGTCCAACGGGCAGGAATAAACTGGCATGTTACGGCACAACGAACTTCAAGCGTTGGAAGGTTGTAAACGTTTGGGGAAAGATAGCTCATAGGCTGTTACGGCGCCGTCTCGAGGTTCAGGACGGTGAAACATGAGACGACCCTATCAAGAGGCGTGCAAGTCGACACATCCCGTAATGGGTACGTGTAGAAGATGTTATCAATGCTTATCTGGGCCGAGGTTTCCCTTGCAAAGTTGATAAGCATACCAAGACTTGGAGATAGCAGCACACACGCGCGCGGCTCTGACGTGTGAGATTCTAGAGCGAGGTTTCGTGGTTTTTCTCGGATCTGGCCCTCCTCCACCGGAAGTAGACCGGCCCCATATTTGCCTGGTACCGAGCGGAATAACGGAGGGGTGCTTTCGGGAATACGGAGATACGGGAATATCTTCTTCACATTCCCCCTTTGGGCCCTTCGGCGTTAAAAGTGATTGACTCATACATGACTGGAAATTCTTCCCGATTCTTAACGACAACTGGCATTCTGTCGTAACTGTTGTGATACCAAATACTGCTGATCAATTTGTTTGATAGTCTTGGCTGCAGAGTGCCAAAGCTACTTCGACTCGGACACCAGAAGGTTTCGGAGAACTTCGATGACTGGTCGACGAACAGCAGAATTGCAAGGGTTCATCTGAATGATCAGCAGTTCCCGGCCGGGGAGATAATTATCTTTCAGACATTCCTTGGATGAATGTCAACCCGGCCCTCCAGGCTCCAGCATTCAACCAGCGGTACTTTATCTCAACCTAACTTGAACACACTGTCAAATACGGCCACTCGAGAGCGCCAACAGTGGCTGGAATCCGCGGACTTGTCAACTTATCTGTCAGACTAGGCTTGACTGCCCCAAGCTCCCTTCAAAGTTCGACGCTTTCGCATGCCCACCACAATGGGTGGGATGGCGGCGTCCATCCCGAGCGCGCGGGGGAAAACGTACGCCAGTGCGCCCACGCGCCTTGCTAAGCTCTTGCGCCTTTGGCACTAGACCAGCCCAGCCCAGCCCAGCCCGCACTTCAACCTCTCAGCCCTGCGTCTGCTAAGCACTCACGGCACGTTTAGCACTGTTGGAGTTGAGCTTTTCCGCGAAAAGGGTTCCGAAAAGGGGCAAGGCGAAGGCTTTCCCGCCCGCTGGCCCCAACTTACTTGTTTAGCTCTCGACAAAGAGGCTCGTGACCAGAAGCTGGATCGGGGGGAGAAAGGTCGGGGGCTGCACGAATAGATAGGTATTCGAGAGTTCTAGAGCTTTTGCGTGTCCCGCGGCCCCGGGGTCGGATTTGCCGATGGGCGGAACGGGCTATGTTGTCAAGTGTCTTGGTGTTCACCTTTGGCTGCCTTCGAGAAGGTTGTCTGACAGTCTGAACTCAAGCGCTGGTTTTGCCGTTTTACTCGAAGGAAAGGTCTCAGTCATCACCTTGAAGATCTTGAAGTCGCTGACAATTCATCAACGAAGGTAATCCCGTACGGATACACCGAACGAGACGTCATGGTCCCGTCCCGTTGGGAAAGTTACAGATCAGATTAGATTTCGAGTCTCCTTCGCTGGGGGCGTCATACCCGAAAAGGGTATAAAAAATATCCTCTCTCAAGGGGTCCCATAGAACAGGCTGTCACCGACGCACTGCGCACTGACTGGTTTTGATGGACCACGCAGTCACGCAGTTCAGTTGCTGGAATGCCGACTCGTGTGCCGCGTGATGGGCCAAGGATGTGTGTGCTTAACTGGGAACTTGGTCTTGGTGAGCCCAAAAAGCCAAGTCAGCAGGTTAGCAACCACCACACGGAAGCAATTTTCAAGGGACGAAAAGAAAAAGATCCATCCATGATCCAGGGACCCATATCCGGTACACCCTACCCTGGGCCGGACCCTCTTGCTAGAACTCGCCAGCGGCCAATCCCACGTGTAAGTCCGAGACAGACGGCTCTAAGGCGAGTCTTTAGGTCCCCTTGTCCCGCTGGCCTGGCCTGGCCTGGCTGGTTCGGGGATCTTTGATTCGATTTCTTAGTCCCGTATGCCTGCCTAGTCCGGGAATGGCGAATTTTCCAAATTGTAAATGGGTCCTCCCCGGTTCGGAGGGGCGTTCCCGCCTTCGCGCGTTGGCGTCAACCTGACGGGTAGATCGTTTTCTATTACTTCAACTCGAGTATCGCCCGTCGTTGTTGGCTCGGGTTGGAGGGGGTCCCCTTTTCTTTCTTCGAATGTCAGGGTGGCAACATCCAAGGTCGAAGGAACACACTCCAGTTCACGATGGCTTCTCCGTCGGCATCTGAGAAGCAACAACAGCATGTCCGCAAGAGCATAGACTCATCATCGGGCGACCGAACCGCCGCTGCGACACCGGACGTCAACATGCTCCGGGACGACAAGCACATCCCCGACGACTCGAGTCTATCACACAGCCGATCGAGCAGAGACGACTCCAGCGACGACAATGGCAACGACCTCGCGCCGCAGCAATCCAATGCTTCTTCAGTATGGGCCGTCGACAGCATGTCGTTCCCCCGCGAAGCCATGTTCGTAATCATTTGCTGCATGGCCCAGTTCTGCACTCGTGAGTTTGCTGTTCCCCCCCCCCCCCCCCCCTTATCCCCAAACTCCATCTCACAACACCACACCATTCCGGGGGCATGAGAAAACATGAAAACATAAGACTGACCACTTTTAACAGAGGCCGCCTACATGGAAACCCTCGTCCTTCTCCACGTCATCGGCGGCTCCTTCCACGTAGACAACCCAGCCCGCCTAGCCTGGCTCGTCGCCGGCTACTCCCTCACCGTCGGCACCTTCATCCTCTTCTCGGGCCGCCTCGGCGACGCCTTCGGCTACAAGCGCATGCTCATCATCGGCTTCGCCTGGTTCTCCGTCTGGTCCCTCATCGCCGGCCTCAGCGTCTACTCAAACTTCACCCTCGCCGTCTTCTCCCGCGTCCTCCAGGGCATCGGCCCAGCCATCTGCCTCCCCAACGCCCTCGCCCTCTTCGGCGCCGCCTACCCTCCGGGCCACCGCAAGGCCATGGTCTTTTCCTTCTTCGGCGCCGTCGCGCCCATGGGCGGCGTCGTCGGCGCCGCCGTCGCCTCGACGCTCCAGCTCGAGTGGTGGCCCTGGGCGCTGTGGGCCCTCTCCATCTGGCTCGCGATCCTGGCCGTCGCGGGGTACTTCATCATCCCCGAGCCGCACCACGCCAAGCTCGATCGCCCGCCGAGGACCCTGAGCGACATGTTTGTCGAGCTCGACATCCCCGGCGCCGTCACGGGCACCGTGGCGCTGGTCCTCTTCAACTTTGCCTGGAACCAGGCGCCCATTGACGGCTGGAAGACGCCCGAGGTCCTTGTCCCGCTCATCCTCGGCCTCGTCCTCTTTGGCGTCTTCGCCGCCATCGAGTTCAAGTACGCCGAGAAGCCCCTGTTGCCCTTTGACGCCGTCAACGCCGACGTCGCCTTTGTCCTCGCGGCCGTCGTCTGCGGCTGGGCGACCTTTGGCGTTTGGACGCTCTACCTCGTGCAGATCCTCCAGGAGATCCGCACGCTCTCGCCGCTGCTCACGTGCGCGTGGTTCTCGCCCGTCGTGGTGACGGGCGGCCTCGCGGCCGTCATCACGGGCAAGCTCCTCGGCCCGCTCAAGGTGCGCCCGCCCGTCGTCATGACGATGGCGCTCGTCGCCTTCACAGTCGGCGTCATCCTCACGGCCACGGCGCCCGAGAATCAGATCTACTGGGCGCAGATCTTCGTCTCCATGATCATCATGCCCTTTGGCATGGATATGAGCTTCCCCGCCGCGACGCTGATCCTGTCGAACGCCGTCAAGAAGGAGCACCAGGGCATCGGGGCGAGTCTGGTCAGCACGGTGGTCAACTACGGCATTGCGCTCGGCGTCGGGTTCGCGGGTACGGTCGAGGTGCAGGTCAGCAAGGGCACGGGGACCAAGGAGGAGCAGTTCAAGGGGTTCCGGGGCGCGTTGTACATGGGTGTTGGGCTCGCTGGGCTGGGATTGTGCGTGGCGTTGACATTTTTGGCGAGGGAGTGGCGGCATCGGAAGGGCGGTTCAAGAAACGAGGAGAAGGCTGCCGAGGCGCAGACGAGAAACTCATGATGAGACTTTGCATAGAATAGACGAGGTTGCTGCTCCGCGCAGCCATAGACTAGACGTTGATAGACAACAAGCTTTGTTCACAAACGGGGTGTGAGACGAGCCATTATGTGTGAATCGATTCTCATATTACTTTGTAGCCATCTTTCTTGAATACATGTAGTGGCCGGGGTAGAGTCAGTCTACAGAACATTAGATGGCAGAAATGCCTGGCACGTATTTCAAGTCACCTGGAATTCACATGGAAGTTCACAAAAGGAGGGCCAAGTGATGAGCAACCACCTGCGATCCGCAGAGGAATAAGAGAAAGAATGCATCCCAATTTTTATTTTATTTTTGGTATCCAGTTGATGCTCGCTGCCAGCCAAACAAGATGCTCCTGTCCTAAAACGCCATGCTGTTGAAGTCTAGCAAATCCTGACATGTCCACCACCGTCATCCCCTGCTCCCCCTATCTTCCACTTGGAGGCGTCCTCATGAGAGACCAAACCTCATTTCCCAGTCCGGCTCCGAAGCGTCTTCAACCCCGTCTTATGCTCCGTATGATTCTTACTCAACTGCACCTGTCTGACGAACAAGCTCAGAACAAGCCCCAGCCCAGCAAACGCAACATAGACAATATACATCGTCCTCAGAGAACTCAGATACGCCCCGCGCGCAATCTGCCCTTGCTCCCCCTGCAAATCCGCCACCACGCCCACGCTGGACGCGGCACTCGAACCAGAGAGCATATTCGCCAGGTCGGGGCCAAGCTCCTCCCTCAGCCGCGGGTACTGCCTCTGCATCTCATTATTGAACACGACGCCGCCAATAACAACAGAAATAGACGTGCCCATCTGCCGAATGAACCCAAACGCCGACGTCGCGGCCGCGATATCACGCGGCTCCACCGATGTCTGCACCGCAATCAGCGGGCTCTGGAAGTTGGGCCCGATACCGAGCCCGGCAACGATCTGGTAGATGATCATCTTTGTAAAGTTCCGGTCGAGCGGGAGGTCGTGGAACAGACCGAAGCCGACGGTCGTGACGAGCATGCCGCCGACGATGAGGTAGACGTAGTTGCCCGTCTTGCGGATCAGCACGCCCGCGACGGCGGAGTTGAGGGAGAGGGAGAGGACGTAGGGGAGGAGGTAGACGCCCGAGAGGAGGGAGGAGACGCCCTGCACGCCCTGGAAGTAGAGCGGCAGCCAGTAGCTGCCCGAGATGAAGGCGAAGGCGTGGCAAAAGGCTGTAGCGAAGGCCGCCATGTTGGACCAGCTGCGGAAGAGGTGCATCGGGATAACGGGGTACCGCGCATACTTCCACTCGTTGACCGCAAAGATGCCAATCGTGACGATGCCAAACACAATAAGACAAATAACAGTAGGCGAGCTCCAGGGATACGAGACGCCGCCAAACTCGAGACCGAACAGGAACATCAGCGTGCCGCCGATGATGGTAAGTGTGCCGACCCAGTCGATCGCTTGTAACCCCTGCGCGACGGGAGTCCGCGGGTTGTGCAGCTTGAGGACGAAGAAGAGGACGACGAAGCCGACGCCCGAGATGGGCAGGTTGACGTAGAAGCACCAGCGCCAGGTAGCCTTACTCGTGAAGACGCCGCCGAGGACGGGCCCGATGGCGCTCGAGACGGCCCAGACCATGCCCATGACGCCAAAGTAGACGCCGCGCTGGCGCATCGAGAAGAGGTCGCTTACGCAGATGTTGACGAGGACGATGATGCCGCCGCCGCCTATGCCCTGGATGGCGCGGGCGCCGATAAGCATGCTGTTCGTGGTGTTAGCATCAGGTCCCTCCATAAGTTTTTTACCCCCCCCTTTCGATTCTGTTAAAACTTACCCCATGCTCGTAGACAACCCACAGATCAACGACCCAACCCAAAACACACCCACAGCACACAGTAGAATCGGCTTCCGGCCCCAGATATCAGAAATCTTGCCCCACGTCGGCACAAACGCCGCATTACTGAGTAGGTACGCCGATCCGATCCAGATATAGCCAATGTTGCTCTTAAACTCCTCCGCAATAGTCGGTACGGCGGTCGTGATGATGGTGACATCCAGCGCCGCAAGGAACAGCGCCGCGCACAACGAGAGCACGATGAGCGTCGTCTCGAGCTTCGTGCGGCCGGCCTCGGGCGTGTCTTCGGCGCCGGCCGCCGGCGGTGGTCCCTGCGCTGCGGCTGTCTTCGTTTCGGACGCCTCTTTTGCGCCGCCGGTTGCCGTCACATGGTCTGCTGCCGTTGTGGCAGTGGCGTGGTGGGAGAGGTCTTCCGCCTTGATGTCTTTGGTGGTTGTCGCGTCGGGGTTGCTGCGGATGGTTACCGAGTCGCTGCTGGTGGTAGTAGTCGTGGGCGATCCATCTTCGGTCTGGGAGCCGGCGGCGCGTTCAATATCGCCGACTTTTTCGTCGTCGTGGACCTCGTGGAGGTTTTTTGCTGTCATCTGTGCTTTGCTCTCTGCTGGTCGATTGTTTTTGGGTGCTGTTGAAATGCTGTGTGAGTGCTGTATGCCTGTCTCAGGAGCTCAATCTGTTCTCGTGATGCTGAGCGAGGGACTGATTAATTCATGGGGAGCAAGTGGTGAGTTCAAAGGAAGCTGAGCTGGACCTTTCAACGTGAGTATAGAATTGAGATCACCGGCTTCGCGCAAAGAGAGACACGATGAGGTGATGATAGGTACAACGTGCTGAGGCTTGGGTATTGTCCAGTGAGTGACGATGTTCAGCTAGTGAGAAGAAACCCGTCGCAATAGCCAGCCCGTTCAAGTTGTCACGAGGAAGAATCAAAAGTCAACTAGGTCCAGGAACGAAAAAAAAAATGACGAGCGAAAGGCGCAACAAATTTCCATTACGAATACAAAGTCGATGACAAGCACCTCCACATGCGCTCCAACCCTGGTCCCATGGCGAAGAAATCGGGTAAGAAAAGTGGACGTAAAGGGACTGGTCTCGAAGCAGCTAAGAGCAAGGGGGTGTGAGATCTAAAGCATCCAAAGGCTGGGGTAAGTGAAAATCGTGTGTAATGGGTAGTGGGTGGGTGGTATGGGGTGGGAAGAAGCGAGAGCGACGAGAGAGAGAGAGAGAGAGAATGTCGAGTGGTTGCCGCGTTGCCGAATCGGCAAAACCTTTTGGCCTCAATTGACGTACAATGACTAAAGTGCTAATAAGAGACTTGGTTGACTGGAAACGGGCCTCACTGGGGCAAATGCGATATCGGATTTAATCAGCACACCACCAGCTCGGCGCGAGAGTCGGTGAATCCATAAGCCGAAGCCGAACTACCTACCTGACTAGGAAGCTAAAGACTGCTAAAACTGCTCATTCATCCTACTTATCCCACCTGAACCGTGCCGTCATCCGCGAGACAGTTGCTATCCGTAGATTCGAATGAAGGCTTGGTAATCAGCCTTCAACATAAACTCATGACTGTTCACGTATTATAGTCGCCATCCTTGCTACATCTGCAACGGCGATGTCTGCGACCCTGCGACTTAACCTGCATGGAAAGACGAGGACGCCCAGATCGCAGACAGTGGACGACGCTTTTGCGACGGGATCAATAGAATGCCGGGGGTCCTCCCTTGCCCCACTTCGGCTGTTCCCCCCCCCCCCGCAATGGAAAGGCTTATCTTATCCTTGGTTGTCGGATCACTCGCTGCGATCGAATTCATCTTTATATGTGTAGTAATTCGTTTTACTGGCTGCTTTTCTGCTTACTATCCAGTTAGAGTAAGTACGGATACAAGATAATAGTTTGTAACCAACATACTGATAGGGTTACATGGATAACTATCCTACAGCGGCTTGAGGACAATACTAGAATATATACCGTCCAGGCTATCTTGTGTACGACACAAAACACCCAACTTGTGCAGCGGCACAGCCCGTCTTTCGGGGCAACTTAGATAATGCGTCAATTTCTGTCGCCAGTACTCAATACCTCATGTTGCCAGATGTAGCATGTGTCTCTGAATGCCTTACGGGGGGCCTCGTTAAGAATGACCTTCAATCAGTAAAGGTAACACAACGTCGCAGACTGACATGCCTCAATAGTGGAGTTCCAAAGCCTCCCTTGCACCATCACTCATCGCAAGTGGGAACTCACTTCCACAAAAAAAGCTTCACCACTCACAAACCACCAACCTAATTTCAGCCTCACCATCACCAAACTCACAAACAATGCTTCTTTCAACGTCGTAATCACCAACTAACTCCCCGTTCCATCCCCCTTGTCTCTCCAACATCTCACACTCATGAGGCTCTTCCTCCGCCCAACAGTCTCATCGCTCACAAAACACCCCTTCACCAACCCTCCCCGCTCATCCAGACTCCTAACCACCATGTCCTCCTCCCCATCACCAACACAAAACTCCTCATCACGGACTTACACCGACACAATCAACCTCCTAAACACACTCATCCCAAACCTCAAGGTTCACGCCCTCTTCAACAAACCAAAATATGCCGCTCCCACCCCCACCTCTTCCTCTTCCTCCTCCTCCTCCTCCTCAGCCTCGAAACCAGACCCGGCAGCAACAGACCCAAACCTCCTCGCCATCCCCGAAATGCGCGCCTGGCTCCTCCGCGCAAACCTCACCCCCCAACGCCTCTCCTCCCTCTCCTTCATCCACATCGCAGGCACAAAAGGAAAAGGCTCCGTAACAGCCCTCACGACATCAGCCCTCCTCCACCACTCATCTTCCACCTCCTCCTCATCGTCACCCTCAGCACAAATCGGCCCCATAGGAACCTACACCTCCCCCCACCTCCTCTCCCCCCGCGAACGCATCGCCATCTCAGGCCACCCCATCTCCCAATCCCTCTTCGCGACATCCTTCTTCGAACTCTGGGACACCCTCTCCGCCTGCACCACCTCCAGCCCCGGCGGCGCCGCCAGCACAACCGGCCCCGACCTCGGCCTCCAACCCGGCGCCAAACCCTTCTACTTCCGCTTCCTCACCCTCCTCGCCCTCCACGTCTTCCTCAAACACTCGGTCCGCGCCGTGGTCCTAGAATGCGGCATCGGCGGGGAATACGACGCAACAAACGCCATCCCCGGTGACGCGGTAACGACCTCTGTGATTACGCAGTTGGGCATAGATCACGTCGCCATGTTGGGGTCCACGGCTTCGCAAATCGCGTGGCATAAAGCAGGTGTAATGAAACCCGGCACCGCAACCTTCACCCGCAAACTCTCAGAGGAAGGACACCCGGGCGTGATGGCCACCCTCCGCTCCCGCGCGCGAGAGATCGGCGCGGAGTTAATCGAAGTGGACGACGAGGATGTCGAACGCTGGACAGGTGTCCCGGGGGCAAAGCTACCCGGCGGTGACTTTCAAAAGAGGAACCAGGCTCTTGCTGCGCTTGCTGCGAGGCGACATATCCAGGTCCTCCAAGTTCGGGAGGCGGGGTCAAAGACTGTGGAAGTGAATGCTTCGCTGGCTGATGTTCCTGAAGTCATCATCGCTGGCCTGCGCGAGGCGACGCTCCGTGGCAGGCATGAAGTTCTAAGGCAGGGCAAGGTATCGTGGTACCTTGACGGCGCGCATAATGCGGATAGTCTGGCGGAGGTGGCGCGCTGGATATCGCCCATCCTCACCTCTACAGACCCCTCAAGCCCCTCAGACACGACGCGCAACGACAAAGAAAGCTTCGTCCTCGTCTTCAACCAACAAGAACGCGACGCCTCCTCTCTCCTGAAAGATATGCTCCGCCAGATGTCGGCGCTAGGCGTAGACCTCGAGAGAAGGCTGTCAGCTGCAATCGTCACCAGGAACGACAAGACCAACATCGCAGGCGAGGGAGGGGACGTAGATTTGACAGTCCAGCAGACGTGTGCCGCGGCGTTTAGGGAGATGTACCCTGCCACAAAAGTCGTGCTGTGCAGGGACCTGACGGAGATGAAGAGCACCGTTGACGGCGTCGCGGAGCAGTCTTCGGGGACAAAGGTGCTGGTTACGGGGAGCATGTATCTCGTGGGAAACGTCATCGGCTTGTTGGAGCCGGAAGGTCTATTGTGACCACTTACACCAAAGAATAGAAACAAGAATCTAGAGCTGAATCCGTGAGGACTTATCTGTCCGCCCCTTGTGTAAGACCGTTGTTAAACCTCATTCTATCCCGGATATCCCATAGGACCAGACCCCATAATCTCAGGGTCAAACGCAAAAGCAATATAAACACCCCGTACCCTCTAAACATCTACAACGCATCCGCACCCTCCAGGATCCCCAGCGCACCGCCAACAAGATGTAAGCTCCCCGTGACAAGAGCCTGCACACTCTCCCCCTCGGGCAAACCCTCACCGACGCTCCGGACGTGGTTCAACGCCTCTTCAATAGTCGGTATCACGCGCACGTCGGCGTGGGGATCCAGCTTGGACCAGCGCTCCGCAAACTGCCTCTGCACCGTCATGGCCTCGATGGCTTTGGCGTCGTACTGGTGGTTGACGAAGTCTACGTGATCCAACCCATCAGCTTTATCTCTCTCTCCTCCAAATCCCCCTCGGGCATCCCAAAGACGTGTCTGAAGAGGAAAAGGGGTAGGGGGGGGGCTTACCTCGCTTATACCCAGTCTGGGCATAAGTAACATTCGTACAAAACACCACACTCTCAAACGCCCGCCCATCCGCCCTCTTGATAGCCTCATACATGCCATCCAAGAAGTCAATCGCCTCCGTCCGGCCCTGCTGATTAAACACCAACGCCCTCGGCCCCTTCTTCCCTCTGCTGCCACTCTCATCCACATACCACCTCGCCGCCATCCGCAAACTATCCGTCGTATGCGCCCCGTCAACATACCACATAACACCGGCCTCCGCCTCCTCGTCCTTGACCTCACACCGTCCCCTCCAAACAACCCCCTCCAACCCCTCCACAAACGCCCTCGGCAACCTCTCCGGATCCCTCTTGAATCCCTCATCAACCCTCTCCAGCGCAGTCTCCGCAAGCCTCACAGCCAAACTCGCATTCCTCTTCTGGAAAACCGCATCAGGCCGAATCTTGACCCCCTCAAGCCTCCTATCCACCCCAACAACCTCCATCTCAACCCCCTTCTCCCTAGCCCTCTCCTCCAACACACTCGCCGCCCCAGCAACCTGCTCAACCGTAAACCCTTTCGTCCCCTTCTTCATAATCCCCCCCTTATGCCACGCAATCTTCTCCACCGTATCCCCCAGCGCAAAAACATGATCAATCCCCAACGTCGTAATCCCCGTCGCCACAGGCCTACCAACAAGATTCGTAGCATCATACTCCCCTCCAATTCCCGTCTCCAATATCGCAACATCACACCCCTCGCTCAAAAAAGCATGAAAGCTCACAAGCGTCAAATACCTCGAATAAATCGGCCTCGTCCCCACCGCAACCTCCCCCTCCAGCATCTTATTCCCCTCCCCCAACCTCTCCCACACCTCAAAAAAGTACCTCGCAAACAGCTCCTCCGAAATCGGCACCCCGTTAATCCGTATCCGCTCCCTCACCGCAATCAAATGCGGCGAAATCAACAGCCCGACTTTCCGCGGCACCCCGCGCGGCGACGCGGCGCGGTGCCGCGCGAGGATGGAGTCTGTAAAGGCGCAGGTGCTTCCCTTGCCCTTTGTCCCCGCGACGTGGATCACGTTGAGGCTGTCGAGGTCGGCGACGGAGTAGCCCACGCGCGCGATGTATGTTCGCATCTCGGCGACGGAGGCTTCGTCTGGTCGGATGCCTGCTTTGCGGCGGGCTTCGATTATGGCGAAGGGGGTTTGGAGGGTGTTGAGCGCGTCGACGGCGTCCTGTGCGTTGGAGCTTTGTTAGCAATGCTTCGTTTTAATAGTGTCTTTCGTTCCTCCCATCGCGTAATCCTCAATTGCAGTCCCGAACTTGGAGCTGCGAAAGACATTGCGATCTTCGACCTCGGAGAGACAGCAGACAGCTTGTAAAGCTGCACAGTAGGTGAGAGAAGACGTACATTATACGTCCTCCCGGCGGTAGCCATCATTCGTCGTCCCAGAAAGCTTGAAAGTAGAAAACTCCTGCTGCTGCTGTTGCGCGTGAGGCGTATTACGTGGCGGGATGCATAATGCATCAAGGACGTCGGGAAGCTCCCTTTTATTTTGGAGGTAGTTTGCAGCGGGGCTTGAAATGGAGGGGTCGTTGGAGCTCTCCCTTGAACTTTGGCACTTTGGGAAGGTAGAAATTCGGGGTTGGCAGCTGTTGTCTCTGCACTGCTGCAGCCGGGTTTCGGTGGGGGGGGTTTGTTTCTGGTTATATGCGGCTTCCAGGTTGAGGTGCGCTTCGGGACTCGAGCCGGGAGAGATGTCTGGGGGCCCTGCGCTCGGCGCTCGGCGCTCGGCGCTCGTCCCGTTTTCTGCTTTGCGTCTATCTGTATTAGTTTGAACGGGGCGGCCACCGGCTTGTGACAATGCCTTGTAGAGCTTCTCAAACTCAATTCGTCTTCTTCTTTACCTAACCCAAGTCTGTTACAACATCCTCTTTCCAAATTGAATGCTGGGCCTAAATCAAAATGAGGACTGCACACTACAGCGTAGCACGGCATGTGGAGGATACATGATATGGAACATCACACGAACAAGTAGACTTGATAAAATACACTGCCTTCATTCAAGTCTATGGGCTATGTCTTACACAGACCAGAGGTCTAGGCTATCTTGCTCTCTCTCCCTCTCTTCTCTAAATAGTTCCCCCCGTGGGAGCCCCTTCATACAAGAACAAAGAAGAAAAAAAGTTGTTTCCCGTCCATTATTCTACCTTGAGACTCTGCAGGCGCGCTTCTGTCGCAATGACCTAAACAAATCATGTCAGCTTCTGTCTTCATTTCACGCACAATCAGGGAGAATACTCACATCAAGAGCCTGCTGGACCTCAAGAACCTTCCTCACCTCACCGAGCCAGTCTCTGCTCAGCGTCTTCGCCCAGCCCTGCAGACCGTTCATCTCACGGGCCGCAGCGTCGAGGTTACCCTCCTCCAACAGCGTCTGCGTACGGGTGAGGATGCTCTCGACGTCGTCGCCGCCGACCAGACCCTGCTTCTTGAACATGACCTTGCTGAGGAGGTAGCTGGACGCGTGGCTGGCGACGCCGGCCTCCTCGGGAAGAAGAGACGCCTTGCGCACCTCGTTGGCGACTATCCTGAAGCGATCAATAAGCTGTGCCGCGTTGGAGAGACCGCGCTGGTAAGCCGACGGGTTGATCGAGGCAATGGCCGCGTTGACGACGGGGTCCTCGGCCGCAATCTCCTTGAGCGCCACGAGCTCGCGCGTAAACGGCTTGGGCGTCGTCGCGTTCTCGAGGCTGGCGCGGACGGCGTCCACGGCGACGTGGAGCTGCTGCGTGCGGAGGTTGGTGTCGACAACCTCGTTCCAGCCCGTCGTCAGCTTCTCGAGGTCCTGGACGGCCGCCGAAAGGTTGTTGAGCTTGCCGAGGCGGCCCTCGCGCTCGGCCTCGACGTGGCCCTGCACCTCGGCGACGAACTCCTTCTTCAAGGCGAGCGCCTGCTCCAGCAGCTGGTTGTTGAGACGCTCCTCATTAAGCTGCTTCTCGCGCTCCAGCAGGAGCTTGACGCGCTCGTCGTAGGCTCCCTTGACCTTGTTCATCTCGTCCTCGAAGTCCTTCTTCCACTGGGTCTCTTGGGCGACCATGGCAGACTCGACACGCGCAATCAGGTCGTTGGCGGCCTTGTCAAAGTCGGCGACCTTGGCCTCGACTTCGGAAGCAGCCTTCGCCTCGACCGAAGACTTGATGGCCTTGATCTTGCCTCCAACCTTGCTCAATTCGCTCTTAGCCTTGGTAATGGTGGGAGAGTAGCGACCGTGGGCCTTGTCGGCATTGATGACGGTGATGATGTCGTTGAGCATGCGAACAAGATCCTGGACGACGGGCTCGGTGGCATCCTCAATCTTCAGGGCGTCGATCGGGGCGATGGGAGGGAATCGCGAAGGCTCGTTGACCTCGGGGGCCTTGAATCCGTTGGAGTCTTCCTTGGGCGCAGCAGCAGGCTTGGTCTCCTTGACGGGCTCTGGCGCAGGCTTGGGCTTCTCAACCGGCTTGCTCACCTCCTCCTTGATGGCGACGACCTTGGCGGCGGCCTTGTCAACAGCGCTCGACTGACGACCAGCAGGCTCGCCGTTATCGGCCACTCTCCATGACGCGCCGCTCTGGGCGGGGATCTTGACCTGGCTGCCGGTATCTCTTCCCTTGAGCTTGTTCGAGAGGTTGGGGAATCGCTTGCGGAAGTCTGCCTCCTCAAAGTAGAGGACGGCCTGCTCGCCAAAGGGGACATATTCGGTGAAGAAGTCGTGGAAGTTGTCGTTGACGCGCGAGTACCAGACACCGCCTCCGAAGCCGACGGCGCCGAGGATGGCGAGGGTCAGGACGAGGTTCCTCAATCGGCGGAAGAAACCCTTCTTCTTGGGCGCAGCGGCCGCGGGCGACTCGGGCGGAGGAGGAGCGGCAGCGGCAGCGGCAGCCTCTAGGTTGGGAATGACGACCGCGGGATCGGGAGTCGGGGGTGTGAGAGGGACTTCTTGCTTGGGTATGGTCGGCTCGACGGCTCCAATATCGGGGATGGCGCTCTTGTCTGCGGTGATGGTCTCTGATGCCGGCAGGACGGCAGGTTTGGAAGGGTCGACCTTCTTGTCGTCGGCGAAATGCCTCCTCTGGCGGGCGGCAGCGACCTGCCATTGGCGGCCAACAACGGCCGCCGCAGGCCTGTGGCCGAGCACCCTCACGGATCGAATCGACGTTCGCAACATGAGGGGATGCAATGGGCCGACAAGGCGTAATTGGGGGTGAATGGTGTCGGGGGGGGGGGGGGGAGTTGTGGTGGGCGATAATCCGTACCTTGAGGCGACGGGAATCCAGGCACAAAAAAGCTCAGGGAAAAGTTCGGCTAAAACTGGGTGAGCTTCCAGCCGCGCCGTGCTGGTCCGCTGCGAGCGCCGAGCGGCAGGAACCGGGATCTCAGCCAGGGCCACCTGCCTACCCGTAGAGCTCACGTCACTCGGCGGCAACACCTGTCACTTTTTGACACGCGGCTTTCATATTTGCATCTCCATCAACTTGAGATATCTCGCATTTTTACTCGGAGTGGTTATATAGGTCTCTGGGTTTGCGTGATTTCTCTCAATCGAGTCTCAATAGCCTGGCGAACCAATGAAGAAATTTAAAGAAACTACGTCACAGCTTTACTTCCTCGATAACTGCATTTGGAAATCTTCATCGGCACATAGGGGCCTCAAGTCCATGGGTCCATGTGCAGTGTATCACCAAGTCCAAAGTGAAACGATAAGAAATTGTATACGGCCCCATCCTTGAGAAACAGTTGCCTCTATCGCATACTGTACATCAGAAAAATGCTGCAGGATGCTTCCCCCAGTAAAGTGAATCCGTTCCCATACACCGTCTTATCCCAGGACTGTCCCTACACCCGAGTTGCCGCAACCGAATGACCAGCTCAATGAAGACTCGAAATGTAAAATCACACACACGCAACTCTCCTCCCCTTCTCCCCTTCTCCCCTTCACCCTCCCTCCCTCTCAAAAAAAAAAAAACAAAAAAAAAACGTACTGTTGATATTAAAAAAGCTGGGTCTGGCATACCCATTCTTCGGTGTAGGATTTGCGACAACGCTCTTCTTCAGCCCAAACCCATTCAGCCAAAACGCCGTCGTGTACGCGCTTGTGTTTGGTGCGGTGCCTGACTGATTGGTGCCCTTGCGCACTCTGCCAACGGGAGCCTGCCTCGCCTCTGACGTGATGCCAATCTTTCGCTGGTTTCCTTGGGCTCGTTTGATATATGATGATTGTGGTGTGTGAGTCTATTCTCACTTAGCAGCTGCAAGGCCCGCTGACGTTGCTGCCAGGAGTCTCGGGTTGGAGGCTGACGCCTTGTCGCTGGCCTGGTCGGGCGTGCCTAGGGCCGGCCTGGTCAAGCGGCAGCTTCTTGGCGATAGCAGTGAAGAGGTCCTTGACGTTCTCGGCCGTTTTGGCTGATGTCTCGAAGAAGAGGAGTCCGGCCTCGCGGGCGTAAGCCTCGGCGTCGGCCGTGGACACCGCTCTCTTATCGGGCTGCTCGGTGACCAAATCCAGCTTGTTGCCGGCAAGGGCGATGATGATGTTCTCGTTGGCTTGTCTCTGCAATTCCTTTACCCACGCCTTTGCCTTGTCCAGGGATGCCTTGCTACCGTTAGCATTCTGGTAAAACGTGCCATAGTTGGCATTCAACCTACAGATTGGGTAATGTCGTAAACTACTACGGCGCAGTTTGCGTTGCGGTAGTACATGGGTGCAAGGGACTTGTATCGCTCCTGTCCGGCCGTATCCCAAATCTCGAACTTGACTGTGGTGTTCTCGTCGAGAGAAATGGTCTGGGTCAAGAAGGCAGCGCCGATGGTCGATTCGCGGTAGGAGTCAAACTGGTCCTGTAGTTGCACACGGTTAATGGACTGGTGTGATGATGAGGCCGGGCAAGTTGTGCATCGGGAACTTACCTTGACGAAACGCAACACGATGGAGCTCTGAACAACAGGTTAGCACTGGGGAATGGGATTTCCATGAAGATCCGAACAACAAAATACCTTTCCAACAGCGGACTCGCCTGTACCATCGAAAACGTTAGCTATTGTTGTGGTAGACCACTGGGGCGGCAAGAAGCATTACATACCTAGCAAGACGAGCTTGAACTGCGCAAAGCGCGTGTTCATTCCGCGCGCACCAGGAGCACCGGGGCCTCGGGCAGCCATTTTGCGTAATGTGAAGAGGACGTTTGGGGAGAAGCGGGCGATGACAGAAAAGTCGGTGTTGAATGAGCCTAACACACGGAGCGAGAGACTGGTCTTGGAGAGCGGCTGTATCGAATGTCGCCGGACGGACTCGGTCGCTGGGCTTCGGAAAGGGTGGTCCAAGTCGTAGCGGAGGAAATGAGGGCGATGTTACGTTGATCGAGATAGGGATCGAGGGTCGCGAAAGCAGCCGTCGTGGATCGAAAGATTCGTGGTTGCGCGGCGGGAGGGGCGAGGGTACGAGTAGAGGTCGGTGGAATGTAAGGTGGGAAGCAGCGGGATGGGAGTTGATGGTAAATCGGGTCCTGGAATAATGTGACTTCCTTGGGGTCAACCGTTCTTGGGGGTCTCGGGGGGGCGTGTGGGTGCTGTTAGGTGTGCGTGTGTGTCGGTGATCACTGATGCCCATTCACTGTCCTCTGAGGTGGTCAGTCTGGCTGTCTGAGGTGGTAAGTGGTTGTGAGAGTCCTAGCGCCCGACCAAGGTACCTTACCACCTTACCTAACCTAAGGACCAAGCTGTCTGCAAGTCTGTAGTGGAGCGCTGAGGGATGTTCGCCGGGCTGTCAGGTGCAGATGGACGGACGGGACGGGGGACACCTACGACCCCGATGAACTTCGCCAGACTGACCTCCAGCTCGATAGTTGGGCTAAGTGCTCGGCGTTGATTGGCCGACGGGATAATATTGCCGTGTTATGTAATCTTTCCCAGTCTGCTGGGCAATGGAACTCTGCCGCCGCCTGCATCATCAGGGGTACGTACTGCTTTAGTCATGAATCAGCCACGGCACCATCGTCACAGGACTCAGAGGAAGGACATTAGGACATGCTCCAAGTTAAGGCTTACCTAAGAGGTGGCTCTTACATAATAAACCCACTCATCAACCAAGCTCTCTCATTGGATTATAGCTCCTGAACATGGCCTATGCTCCACATTGTCCGGTCCCTCTTTCACAAGCCGGACTTCCAGATTTCCAGACGTCCAGTGCATCTCCAGCCCCCTTGTACAGCAGAAACAGAGCTCAAAGCAGGCTGTTCCAGTTTGTTTCCCAAGTTCCCAAGTACTTCGTACCCCATCAAGTACCTAAGGTAGGTACCTTGTGTGGAGACATCCCCCCTTGCCCCCCATTCCACCTGGGCTGTGCTTGCGACTGCAGAGTGACGACAGCCATTTTATTGGGGTTCACAATTCAGTGCAGCCAACCAAAGCCTCAAGCTGTCCTCAAGGCTCTGGACGCTGAATGCTCGAGACTTGATCTTGCGACCGACCAACAATCGTCAGCTTCAACTTCAACACCTCCCAGTTGGACGACAACAAGGGCTTCAAGGCTTCCTCCCCTCTTCTACCTCCCCCATTCCTTCGCTTCTTTTCTGCTTTGCCTTGCCTTGCATTGCCTTGTCCATCTAGCTCTTGCTTCTCTTCACCACTTACTACCTTAACTCCTTCAGCATCGTGTTGCCGCCCGTCACCATGGCACCCACCCTTCCTTATCGCGACATCAACGTCAAGGTCGCCCCCGACTCTTACGTCTTCACTTCTCCCTCCTCACCTGACGCTCCCGCCTTGGTCATTGACCGACCAACTGGAGACCTTCGCCTTGGAGATGCAGGCCTTGGCAAGAGGGTATCTCGGCAATCAAGCATCGCCGGAATTTTGGGCATAATCCAACTCAGACTTGGTAAGATCCCACACGGTCGCCAGCAACGCGGCCAACCCTTCTTGGCCTGCAATCATAGACAATTCGCTGACTCTCCTTCCTTCTAGACAAGTATGTCATCATAATCAACAAGGCCCAGCCTGTCGGCCGCCTCAAGGGCCACATGGTCTACAAGGTCGTCAGCACCGAGATCCTCCCCATGCGCGAGCGCCAGATCCGAGACCCCGACGAAGATACCTTCATTGGCCTACTCGACACCTTCATGAAGAACGGTCCCATGTACTTCTCCTACTCTCTCGACCTCACAAACTCCTTCCAGCGCCAGGCCTCCGCCGACACCTCTCTCCCGCTCTGGCAGCGCACAGACGATCGCTTCTTCTTCAACCGATTTATCCACTCAGACCTGATCGACTTCCGAACGAGGGGCGCCAGAGGCCACGTTGGTCCCCAGCCCGGCGTCGACGCCTTTATCCTCCCCGTCATCTTTGGCATGCTCGAGATCCGCCCCACGACCTTCAAGGGAACCCCAGTCACCGTCACTCTCATCTCCCGTAGATCCAGACACCGCGGCGGCACCAGATACTTCACCCGAGGCGTCGACGACGAGGGCCACGCCGCCAACTACAACGAGACGGAGCAGATCACCATCTTTAATGACTCTGGCAGTGGTATGGGCGGCTTTGCCGGTAGCAGCGACATGCAGAGCGGCAAGTACGGCACCGACGGAAAGGAGACCCAGATCATGTCCTACGTCCAGACTCGCGGCAGTGTGCCCACTTACTGGGCCGAGATCAACAGCCTCCGCTACGTTCCCAAGCTGCAGGTCCGCGGCATCGACAGCGCTCTGCCAGCCGCCAAGGCGCATTTCGAGGAGCAGATCCGTCTCTATGGCGACAACTACCTCATCAACCTCGTGAACCAGAAGGGCCGCGAGCAGCGCGTCAAGAACTCGTACGAGCAGATGGTTGAGAAGCTCGTATCGTCGCCAAAGGAGCGGACCGAGGGCGACCGCATCACGGACGAAAAGTTCACCACAATCCAGCCTGAGAAGCGCGCCGTCGAGTTTGACCGCCTGCACTACATCTACTTCGACTACCACCACGAGACCAAGGGTATGAAGATGCACCGCGCATATGCCCTCGTCGAGAAGCTCCAGGAGGCTCTCCATGATCAGGGCTACTTCCGTGCGGTGGACATGCCGGGATCGAACGACGGCCGTCTCGAGCCTCGCAGCTACCAGACCAGCGTCATGCGCACAAACTGCATGGACTGTCTTGATCGCACAAACGTGGTGCAGTCCATGTTCGCCCGCCACATGTTGGACCGCATCTTTGAGGAGATGGGCCTGCAGACCCGCGGGTCATGCTTCCGCGACGAAGACCCGGCCTTTGAGCACATGTTCCGCAACCTCTGGGCCGACAACGCCGACGTCGTGTCCAACTCGTACTCTGGCACCGGCGCCATGAAGACCGACGTCACCCGCACCGGCAACCGCACAAAGGTTGGCGCTCTCCAGGACGCCCGCATCGGCGTCACCCGCTACTTCAAGAACAACTTCTTCGACGGTCCCCGCCAGGACTCGTACGACCTGTTCCTCGGCGTGTTCCTCCCGGGAACCGCAAACATTGGCGGCTCCCTTGTCTTCGCCGACCGCCGTCCCATTCTCATCCAGTCCGTTCCCTACCTCCTCGCTTTCAGCATCTTCCTCGTCCTCGTCGGTCTCTTCTCCAAGACCGAGGCCGTTGTCACCATCCGTGTCTTCATCCTCTTCTGGCTCGCAGTCGCCGTCTGGTCTGCCAGCTTCGTCTTCAGCCACGGCATGCTCTACGTAAGTCACAGCTCTCGTGCTGCCCCCCTCCCCTAGCCACGTTCAATCCAGCTAAACACCCTGTCTCAGGTCAACTGGCCCAAACTCAACCCCAGACCGTGGGCCAACGAAGGCTACGCCGAGCACATGTCCAAGGCCCGGAAAGATTCCGTCCTGGGCTCCTTTGTTGCTCGTCATGAGCGCGGCCTCAGCACGGCGAGATATCTCCACGCCGAGGAGGGCAAGAAGAGAGTCGAGTGAGGCTGGCATCGGGTTGCAGCTCAACTTCTCTCTATTTGTGGCTCACATTGTGTGTTATTGAGCACGTTTTTCAAAAGGAAGGCGGCTTCTTGGTCCGAAATTCTACATTGAACCCTTTTTGTCACATTATTCATCGAACAAGGCCATACAGGGACCTTGCATTCAATTACTTCTTTTTCCAATGCCGAGCCGGGAGTTTATAGGCATGGAATGGACATGGCATAGATGTCGCAAGGATTAACAGCTTGTCTTCAGAACTGAATAATACACCCTTTTTTCCCTTCTCGTCTATTCACCCGTGTGTTTTCCCCTGGTGCCAAATGTAGTGTCTGCTGCTATTTTCACTTTGGTGACTTGAGTGATGATGACAGTGAATGCATTACGAGGAATGGCATGTTGGATGTAATGCACGGAAGGGGGTTGAGGGTTGTTCTCAGACTTGCCTTGCGTGTAAAATCAACCTGGATTATATGGCAAAAATAAGAGAGAAAGAAAGAGAAAAGGAGAAAAGTCATCACTAGGGCATCAAACAAAAGGTTAGGTTAAGTGAGGCTCAAGGACTTTCAGGTTGGTACATCGACTCCCCCCTCATACTCCTCGGCCACGTTCCCCATGTGCCTTTTATAATACAAGATGAGAAGGATTGACCCAAGTACCCTTTTGCCCGGAAATCATTCGTCTTTCTTAGTCGGGTCGTACGAATACGCAACCACACCATTCATCCACCACGTACTTGGATCCTCCTCTTCATGTGAAGGTGTGGAAATTTGGGCTATATGGAGGTTGTGTAGAGAGGCTCAACTGCTGGCCGCATTCAGGCTAAATAAGGCCCTCAATGTCACCAATCTCCACGTGGGCGTTCTCCAATGTTTTCAGCCTGGCTTCATGGGCTTCATGCAGTGAGTGGAAGATTTCCAGAAACGAACGCTTCCGTTGACCCGGAAAATGGGGAACGTTGCAGTCGTGGACTGAACGAGATGGCGGAGACTAGCTGGCGGAATCGCCGAGTTCCCCATTCATGTGGCATCTATACTTTTCCAATTCAGGGTCCGGAGACACACATGGTGCTTCGATCCATAGCCTTTTTGGTGGCTGTGAAGATCGTTGACTCGGATTCATGCTCGAATGGGCAATTCTGGTCTCAACAGGACAAGCGAAAGATTTCTTCTTCAAGACTTTTCTTTCCCAAGCTTCTCGTTCAACCGTTCAATGAGTAGAACCTCCGACGAGAAGATAACAGCTATAAGATCCCTCCCCCGTTGGGAAGACTTTCATAGGACTTGGTTTCGAGAATTGTATCAAGGTCTTGGACTCAATACTGGCGAATCTCAAGACTTTGACTGTTTTCCAGAGGTCCGAGATTGTTTGGGAGATGGAGGGGGACAGACGCAGCCACCACTAGCCCGCAATTCCTCGGAATCATTGCGTCCGTCGCCCTCTTTTCGCAGAACCTCAATGAACTTGCATATATAAGACATTATCCATCTCCTACCACTCAAAGATATGAAGAAACCAGCTGGTCTCCACCGATTTCAGGTCCAAAACATCTCACCGTATTCCACAACAGAAGCCATAAAAAAAATTAGAAAAAAAGACCTCACGATGCGCCCCCTAACCCTCCTAACCACAGCCCTCACAGGCCTCGCCCCCCTCGCGAGCGCCGCCTCCCTCCAACAAGTAACCTCCTTCGGCGCCAACCCCTCCGGCGCAAAGATGTACATCTACGTCCCGGACAAGCTCGCCGCGAGCCCGGCCGTCATCGTCGCGATCCACTACTGCTCCGGCACCGCGAGCGCGTACTACGCCAACACGCCCTACAAAGGGTACGCCGACACCTACGGGCTGATTGTCATCTACCCGGAGTCGCCGTACTCTGGCACGTGCTGGGACGTCAGCTCGACGGCGTCGCTGACGCACAACGGCGGCGGGAACAGTAATGCTATTGCGAATATGGTGACGTATACGCTTGGTAAGTATGCGGGTGATAAGAGCAAGGTTTTCGTGACGGGGACTTCTTCGGGGGCGATGATGACGGTGAGTCCTTTTAACTTTCTAGCTATTCGAACCTTGGGCATTGGTATCTTGTCGAAAAGAAATCGAAAACAATAGGAATTTTAGAAATGAGAATATGAGCGCTGACAGAAACCCCTCAAGAACGTCATGGCAGCAACCTACCCAGAACTCTTCGCCGCAGGCATAGCCTACTCAGGCGTCCCCGCAGGCTGCTTCTACACCGGCACCGTCAACGGCTGGAACTCGACCTGCAGCCAAGGGCAGTCCATCGCCTCGCAGCAGGCCTGGGCGCAGACGGCGCTCAACATGTACCAGGGTTACTCCGGCGCCCGGCCCCGTATGCAAATTTACCACGGCAGCGCCGACACGACGCTGTACCCGCAGAACTTTAACGAGACGATCAAGCAGTGGACGGGGGTGTTTGGGTACAGTCTCACGCCGCAGCAGACGTTGCCTGGGACGCCGAGCGGGCAGTATACCAAGTACGTGTACGGGCCGAATCTGGAGGGTATTTATGGGACCGGGGTCGGGCATAGCGTGCCTGTTATGGGGGCTGAGGATTTGAAGTGGTTTGGTATTACTGTGAGTATCCTTTCCTGCTTGCGTGTTCTTTCTTCTTTCCTTCGAGGGAGAGGGCGAGGGAGATGGAGAAAAGACCTGCCGAGTCTGACTGACGTTCGCCAGGGCGGATCCACGCAGCCGGGAACGACGACGCAGACCTCGGCGGCACCACCGGCGACGTCGACGGCGAGCGCGCCGCCGACCGGAGGGTGCACGGTCGCGAGGTGGGGCCAGTGCGGCGGGAGCGGGTGGAGCGGGTGTACCGCCTGTGTGAGCCCGTATACTTGTCAGGCCGCGAACCAGTGGTACTCTCAGTGTCTTTGAGCGGTTTAAGGATTATATTAAGGAACGTAAGCCGATATGTATCCGGCTTTACATTGGAAAGTACATAGTATGGAAGTAAATCAAGGTAAGTCCAGGAAACGGCGCCGATGTGGGGCCAACGGCCTTCCGGGGTCTTGGTCCAAGTTTCTCCTCCGGTCGACCGAGCTTTTCGAGCCGAAAGGTTGCCGGGAGAGCGATTCCACTCTTTCCAGATAAGGCTACGGCTCTTGAACAAACTCAAATTTGAGGGCTTTTCCCTTCTTTCTCATGCCTACAATCAGCTGTTTGAATGACTCTCATCCCTGAAAAAGTGAAAGACGTCGTCGGCCGTATTCCGACCCTTGTCTAAAGGCCGATTTCTCGGCCTTTACGCCACATGCAACGAGCGTATTGCTTGCTCTAGCTCCGACCAGGAGACTGGTAGCTTAATTCTTCGTATGCAGTGATATTACGAGATTTCCCAATTCTGTTGAATATTCGACAAAACGTCGGAGTGAAAGCGGGAGGATGACCGCCGCAGGGTATTGCGTGATAGCGGAGAGACATCGCGTACTGGATGCTTGGCGGAACCCGGCTCACCATTAACCTTATAGAATGAGACGACCAGAGAACGCAGTCTATCGCATCCTTCGATAACGACATTGTGAGGGCTCCACAACAGCTATTGATGTAATGGAAGCTATGAGGTTTAAAGATGGCAGATCTCGCTGATGGCTTCCTTTGAGGCATGCTCTACCCGAGCCTAGATGAAACCATCGGCGGCCCTCGCGCACTTTCACCTCATAAACCGTGCCCTTGACCCTAGTTGTCGTTCAAAAAGACCATCCAAATCATGGCCGACGAAAAAGGGGTCGAGCCCAACGTGATGCCCGCGTCCAAGGGCAAGACCGTCTCGGAGAAGAACGCCGACGTGACGCTACGGCTCCTCGAGCAGCACGGCGACGAGGTCGGTCCCCTGACGCCGGAGATGGAGAAGAAGATTAGGAGGAAGCTCTATCTTCGCGTCATGACTCTCCTGTCTGCTATCAACATTATGCTTTTTGTAAGTTGATCACGAAGGAACCTGGGTTATGCGATGAACAGCTGGCTGACCGTATGCTTCTTTTCAAGGTCGACAAGTCAACACTTGGTTATGCAGCCATCCTGGGCCTCTTTGAGGAAACGGGCATCAGACAAGCCCAATATAATAACTTGAACACGATGTTCTACGTCGGTAAGCAAAAAACCTACCTACACGACCTCCTCCTTATACCCCCATCCATCACACAAACACGCAACTAACACCACAACCTCACAGGCTACCTAGCCTTCCAATGGCCAGGCCACATCCTCATGCAAAAACTCCCCTTCAGCAAATTTGTAGCCATCACAATCTTCATCTGGTCAGCCCTCATCTTCCTCCACTGCGCAGCAACATCCTACCCAGCCCTCATCGTCCTTCGCCTCCTCCTCGGCGCCGCCGAAGCCACAATCGTCCCCGCAATGGAAATCACAATCGGCATGTTTTTCAACCGCCGCGAACAATCCTACCTCCAGCCCGTCCTCTGGATCACATGCCAAGCCGCGCCCCTCGTCACCGGCTTCCTCTCCTACGGCCTGCTCTACAGCACAGGGCCCGTCCTCCCCTGGAAACTCCTCCACGTCGTCACCGGCGGCCTCACCTTCTTCCTCGCCATCTGGGTCTGGTTCGAGTACCCCTCCAACCCAGCCGAAGCCCGCTTCCTCACCCTCGAGGAGAAAATCCACGTCATCCGCCGCGTCCACGCCGCGCACCAGAGCTCCATCGAGCAGAAACGCTTCAAGCGCGAACAAGTCGTCGAGACCCTCCGCGACCCCGTATCCTGGCTCTTTGCGCTGCAGTCTTTCACGCTAATGTACTCCAACAACCTAAACTACGGCCAAAAGAACCTCATCACAACCTCCATCGGCATCAAACCCCTCGGCTCGACCCTCGTCGCCGCAGCGGGCGGCGCCTTTGGCATGCTCTGCTGCGTGGCCGCGACTCTCGCTCTCCGCAGGTGGCCGAGTAACCTCGCGCTCCACGGGACCGTTTGGTGCATGCCTGCCGTGGCCGGCGGCATCGCCATGGTCACGATCCCGTGGGACCGCAAAATCGGCCTCCTGGCGTGTCTGATCCTCGCGGCGGCGACGTATGGCGTGACGTACATCATTGCTCTCGGGTGGACGACGTCCACGGCCGCGGGGTATACCAAGAAGCTGACGCGCAACGTAATGTTCATGCTGGGCTACAGCGTCGGCAACCTCGTGTCGCCGCAGATCTGGGTGCCTTCCAACGCGCCGCGGTTCTACGGCGCGTGGGCGTCCATGATTTCCGTGAGCTGGATCGGTACGCCTGTGATTTTGTGGATTATCCGGTTCATACTTGTGAGGAGGAATAAGGAGCGGTTGGAGTATATCGCTGGCCTGAGCGAGGATGAGCGGGATGGGTGGGTCGAGCAGGTTGATGAGGGTGGGGAGACGATTAGGGTCAAGGTTGATATGGCTGTTTTGGATTTGACGGATTTGCAGAATATGCAGTTTATATATCCGATTTGAGGGCCAGGGTTGTTCCGCATTTCCGGACAACTGTGCGAGAAGAGGTTCACTATAGAATGAGACTTGCGCGTTTCTCACCAACTTTCTAAATTGACGCTCTGAAGTGACACTTTTTGCTCGGCAGGATACCAATTTGGTAGAAGTCAGTAGACCGCAGTGAGCTCCATAGGTCAAACACGCTGCCAACTAGCAACGTGATGCGCAATCCATTCAGCATACTCTGTATTAGACCTATCAATCTTGTTTGGAATCCTTGTAGTATGTCTGTATCATTATATGTATATATAAAAATTCCCGAACGGAAATAGTAATCTCGCATACCGCTTTCCCTCCCTGCAGGCAGAGAACCCAGTCCTCGAACATCATCATCCATCCCACCATATAAAGGGGAGGAAGATTAAAGAAAAAAATAACTAATAGGCGCACTCAAGCGGACATAGTCGAACTGAAAAGAACCATTCTTTCTTCCCATCTTTCCCTCACCTACTTCTCTCCCCTCTTCCGGGTATCATTACTCCTCTTCCACTCTTCTCTCCTTTTCTCCCTTTTCTTCTCTTCTTTTTCCTCTCCATTTGCTCCACTACACCCGATAACTCGCGTATGACAATGACACGTCTGCGCAAAACGCAACCCCGTATGCTGACTCCCAAAGAAAACTTTGCTCCGTCGGCTATGCATAGTAATGACAGTGCTTATGATGATGAGCGGGTTACCAAAAGAAAACACACAAAAGGGAAGAAAACGGATTCGCAACCTCCGACTCTTTCAGCACAAAGACGGGTCGAGGGATCCAAGAGGAAGCAGTCGCAAGGAGACTGGGCCAAGCAAAGATCCTCGTTCACAACCACAACAACCACCGAACAGCCCCCACAGCCCCCTGCCCAACACCCCAAAACACCCTCAGGATCATGACGACAAACCACACATACCACATGAACCCGACAAGCACCCACTCGACAGCAAGCCACATGGCGCGACGGACCCAGCGGAACCTACGTCTGCGCCGTCTTAGCATGGCCTCAATCACGTCGAGCGTATGCTTAATCTTGAGCCGCTGGCCCAGCGTGAGATCGCGACTCGTCTCGTCCGCCTCGTCGGCCGCCGCGCGCGTCATGGCAGAGAGGTCCGTCGCCACCCGCCGGCGGACGTCCTCCACGCGACGGTGCAGGGCCGGGATGGTGTCGGCGGCAAAGTGGTCCGCCGTCTTTTGCCAGTCCTGGCCGGCGCACTGGATGGATTTGCCGAGGGTCTTGGCGGCGAACTGGTACAGCTCCGTCTGCGGTACGACCTTGCTGCGTAGGCCAGCAGGGTCGGGACTGAGCTCTGCAACCTTGGGCCAGAATACGTTTGCGACCTGCAGGTCATTCTGAGACGGCGTCTGTCGGTTTGCGAACGCGAGATAAGGTTCGTTGGCGCGGCGGGTGATTTCCATGGCCTTGATACCGGAGCTCAAGACCAGGGCACGGAGTCGGGCAACTTCACGCTTCGACATGGGCGCTCGCTCGGGTGCCGGGCTGTGATCAGAGATGGACCAGTGTCGGCTGCGGTTGGAGGAAGACCCGGGGCGGCCGTCGAGTGGGAACGAGGGCGGGACGGCGATGATGTTGTTGAGACGCTTGTCCGCCTCCTTCAGTCCAGCGCTGTGGCTGCCAGACAGCGGCTCACCCTCCGAGACATCTGACAAGCGCTTCGTCGATCCGGGTGACGAGGTTGGACTGGCGCTCAGAATATCGATGCGCGGCGGCTTCAGCCTGTCGAAGCGAGGCGACTTACGGCTTGCTGACGGCGGTGATGTGTCCGGAAGTTTCGCGGGTTCGCTCTCAATGTGCCTTAGCTTCTCGTGGGAAGGTTCAAAGGCGGGCATGATGTCGAGATAGGTCTTGCCGTTCTGCTGGCGCATTCCCTGACTTCTGATCGAGGCTGTCCGTGAGAGCGGCGTCTCTCCTCTTTTCCTGCCTCTCTGTTCGGTGTCTGATTCATCCGTCGTAGTGCCCTCGGCTTCGGACGGGCCATCGCCGGTCTCTGACTCCTTACGCCAGATCAAATCGCCAAGCTTCGACACGCCACCACGTATGACATTGTCGATACGGGCGCCCTTGAACAACCCTCGCATTCCCGGGTCTTCACTGCGCAGCTTGGTGCTAGCGGTACTGCGATGGGATTTGTGGCTTTCGCCTGTCGGGCGTTGGACAACCTTTCGAGACGGGCTTCTCGACGAGCCTCTCCTGTCCATCGACTTTCGATCTCCTGAAGATTCAGGGGAGACTTCAAATGGCGTCTTCGGTGCGCTTGCCAGATCCTCCGCACTGGATCTCTCTTCCGAAATGCGCGAGCCCCTTTCCTTGCTACGCTCGCGGAATATTTGTTTCACCTTGGAAAACGGGTTTCGAGTAGGGGAGTTCGCCCGGCTCGATCCGGGCGAAAGATCTCCGCCGAGCGCGGGGATGAAGGGGTCTCCGCGAATGGCGCCGTCTGGAGAGTTGGGGAGAGACGAGTCGACTTCGAAGGAGCTTCTCCTCGCCGGCACCGGGATCTCCAGACTTGACCTTCCCATGCCGCGTTGAAGATGCAGCGGAGTGAAGCGAGGCTTTTCCTTACTCTTCCTCTCATCAGACTCGCTCGCCTCCACGATAGATGCCTTCCGACTGTGTTGTCGTGACTGTGGGTGTGAAGTGACTCCAGCATTCCGCTCCGGCGTTACGTATCCCGATCCGTCCGGCTTCTTGGGGCCGTTCTCACGCGCCTCTTTGGCAATCATCTCAAGCATCTGCTTCTCCAGGATGTCTTGGTGACTGCTGGTGAGCGTGCCTGCTCGATTCCTCCTCTCCTTCCTAAGCTTGCCTTCGTTTTCGCTTTCAGACAGGTCAGAGACTGAGTTTTTGCCGTTCTTCAAGTCATAATGACTATGCACTGAGTTGCTGTGCCGGTGGTGGTGGTGATGATGGTGTCCAGTAAGATCATGTAGCTTCTGGCGGGCGCGTTCTCGAGCGCTCGCTGTGGAATGCTCCGTATCCGACTTAGCAAGCCCCGTATTGCTGGATTTCGGATCGATCATGGGCCCTAGTCCTTCATATTCCTTACGCCCTGGTGTCTGTCCCGACTCACTGCCATACTCTTCGTTCTGCCTAGACAAAGGTCTGTGCAATTCGGCATTCTGAGGGAAGATCCGGCGCCAGTGACGATCTTCAATCAACTGCTTGTGGTGATCTTGTTCCAGCCAGTACACATCGGCAAGTAGGTCCGCTGCGTCGATGGTCCAATCCAGTCTTGGTCTCCTCGGCTTGTTGGCGCTGGTGGTAGCTTGAAGAGCGTTTTGCTGCTCCACCACGTCTGCATCCATGAAGGGCGGCAGCGTACAGCCATCTGCGCTCGCCTGGCCCGTCGCAGCCCACTTGGCCACTTCATCAACCCAGTCGGCGACTTTGATAAAGTCCCCGAAACCCTGGGCCTCGCCATCGATCGCCTTCCGCTCCCGAGCTCGCACCTTTCTGTTGCGGATGTATTGTAAAGGATTGTACGGACGCCCCAGCCGCACGCTTCCATCGGCACTACCATAGGTGGAAACCCTCGCAACTCCTTCAGAGGATGTGGGCGGGCTGGCGGTCGTCGGGCGGCTTTGGTTGTGCGACTGGATGGGTGGAACCAGCTCCAACAGGCGCCTGTACTGGGCCATCAGCTCCAGATGTTCCTTCGCCTTTTGTACTCGTGCCAAGGTCGACGCGGTAAAGTGATTACGGAACGTGCCCTCCCGGCTCATGTCGAACGTCGCCTGCAGCGGGCTGCTAAGCATCCCCGTCGAGGGTAATCGTGGAGTCAGTGCCTTTTCAGGCCCCGGGGACCTCGTCCTCGACATCCTCCTCTGCGACTGCAGATGGTTTTTGAGGTTGGCGCCCGTCGGGCCGTCGGGAAGTTGTGCCAGCGTCGGCACAGCCTGAGGCGGTGCGATCCTTCGCGACACCTGCCGTCGGGATTCGCTCAAGTTAAGGGCCATATTCACGATCTGCGCCGAGTCGATATCGAGCGGGGAGTTCGCAGGCGGCGCGAAGCTCGTCCCCGACAACGGTCTACTGCCGTTGGGCGCATCCCGTTTCCTGACCGTCAGTTTATTCGTAGGTTGCGGCGGCGAGGAATCGCCGTTTCGCCTTGGCAGGCTCTCGAGCCCAGCGAGTCCGTAGCCAGCCTCGCGACCAGCACTGGATCCAGACCTATCCGATGCCCTCCCCGAATCTTTGGTCCTCCGGCTGGGGGGTATGTTTCGCGTTACGTGCCGTAGACGGTGTGCCTGCTCCTCCTCGGAATCGGCATCGTTGCGAAAGGCATCCTGCAGCAAAAAGGCTCCATTAGAGCGATGCCTAGGTGCTCTCTGCTGCTTCCTCGCGTCGGGCTTTCCCCCATGGTATCCATTTGTATGTTCAGCATCTCTCGGACTCGATGAAAGTGGGCGGCGCGCGGCGCTGGACTCGTCGGGTGATGGTAAAAGGGTCGTGTCGTTGAGGAGGCTGCCGGTGGCACTTGACTCGCCCGTCTCGTAGCTACCCCTGCTGCTGCCCCTATCGCCAGGCATGGAGTGCGGGCTCAGCTTCCTCGTGAGAATGGCACGCTGCTGGAAGGCATCTTTCTCCGTCATTGCGACGGAGATGCTCGCATGGCCGGCCAAGCTGTGGTTTTACGTTGTCACCAACCCGTTCGTCGGTATCGACGCCGTTCGGTCGCCGTCGCTGTCGTCGTCGTCGTCGTCGTCAAGCTCAGCTTGCTCTCGTCCGTCCGGTCTTCGGATAGTGGGCGGGCGATGGAAAGTGTTGGTTGGGTGAAAAAGATGAGGGGGGAACTTTTAGGGGTTCGCGACTCCCATGGTATGTACTCTTGGGTCGATGCAAGGGAGTGGGTGGCCGGGTTCAAGACAAGTCAAAGAAAAGCCAAGTAACGGAACACCCCATGTGAAGGGACGAAAGGTGACGAAGATTTTGGAAATGTTGGCGCTGATTCGTCCGAGCCGAAACAGGGCATTGACATGTGCCAGCTGAGCATAAGTTGGCGTCGATCTCTCGCTGCCCAGGATCGTGGCAGTCCAACTCTCAACAGTAGACTTCAGGACTGACTGTAGGAGCACCTGTAGCAGCGGCAGCGACAGCGGCAGGAGTCAAGTAAAGTGGCGAGCACACGGACAAACACGGTCCAGGGTTCCCAGCCAGCTCTGGCGCTCCTTCTCAACGTCTACCGACGAATACAAAGTACCCGGGCATTCACCCATTACGCAGCCAAAAAGCCTGGCAGCAAGCAGGTAGCTCTACCGTCACGTACCGTGGCGTTACAGCCGACAACGCTAAGATTGGTCCCACCCAGTGACCCCACACATGCAAAAGGATCCATGTATGGCCCCACCCGATTCGGCAATCGCCGGAGCGGAACATCCTGCAGTCCCGATCATTCAGCGGAACCTGTCCAATCAGGGGAGGAGAGACACTACCTCACCAGACTGGTCTAGAGCCAGGGCAAAGGGGAACCAGCCGATCAACGGCACGACAGACAAAGGACTCTTTTGTCTCGCATGTCTTGAGTTTTTCAACGTCGCCCAAGCCACCAGACTTTCTGCTTCAAGCTAAGCAGGTACTGTATGGAAAACAGTACGGCTTTGACGTCGTGTGCTCGTTGGGCGCGCTAAGCCGGCAGGTCGATGGATCCCGGCCCCCGATCCGCGCTAAGGTTTCCCGGATCAGACCGCTCATTGCATCTGAAAGGATCTCCCTGCTTCAACATAATGTTCGACATCTCTCAACCACATGGCATATATTCCTCTACTGTTTCTTGGAAGAAGACTCCTAACAAGTGTAATTCATTGTAAATCACTATGTAGGGTCAAGCGCGCGCACTTTGGACATAGCGTGAGAGCCACGGTTGATGATATTAAACAGGAACGACTATCCTTGTGCTCAATCTCCAGCTTGGCGCTCTGATTCAAAGTTAAACTTGGCCTTGAAGGTGTCCGAATTGCCTACTAGTATGCCAATAGTCATGGCAGCGCTCTAGTATCGTATTGTATGATTTTCAAGAAAGCCAGAGAAAAAAGACCACATCCTAGTATTGGTTCGATCAACTATCACGACCAAAAGAAAAAACCCCAGGACCAAGACGAAATTAATACAGCAAAAGTGCAAAAGCTCGGCCCCCAATCGGGAGCCTACGAAAGATCCGAGGAGACTCTTACCAGCCTCAGGTGTAACGATGCAGGGATTTTTACAAGTAGATATACGGGACTCGAACCCGGGACCTATGTGAGTGCGGGGCTATTCCGTCAAAGAGACATTCCCCGCTACGTCACAGGCCTTGGTGACAGTGTCAAAACAATTTGTTTCCTATAGACCTACTGCGGCGGCGGTGGCGGCGGTGGTATCAGGGTGGTGAGTGATGAGGACCTGGATGGGGTTGGCGATGGGATGAAGAGGTGCTCGGTGGTTGGTGGTTGCCTAGGAGGAAGGAGCTTGATGGATAGCTCGTCTGGGTACGTGCCTCGACTTGTCGCCTGCCTTACCAATTCACTTCTTTGTTGCTGATAACCAACATCATCTCACACGCGTTCTCTTGAGAAGTGGCATCATACCCGTCTTCAAATCACACATGGTCCACATCACTTACACAATCCAACACACAGAACCAATATAGAGGGGACAGATTATTATAGCTCTAGGAAAGATCAGAAAAAACTCGAGTTAGGTGTTTTGTGCGCTCCTAACGAGGGCCTGTTACCAGCGTCGCCCCCCTCCTTCCCATTGTTCCAAGCTTCCGTCCCCCCACCTTCAGTAACCAAAGTTCACACAAAGAATCCAACGCAGAGCCCAATCCCCGTATACCTGGCGGGCCCGAACAGAAAAAAGGAAAATCACCAACAACATGGCAGGGCGCAGACCAGTCTCTCGCATTTGGGGTGACCTGGGGGTATCGGGGTATCTCACCCTAACCGAATTTAAGCGTGAACAGGGGACTTGTACTCGGAGAAGAAACGCTCGTGGATGCGGCCCATGTACTCGACCAGGGCGGGCTTCTCACGGATGAGAGCGGCGTGGACAGGGTTGCTGTGTCGCGTTGTATTAGCTCTCTGCCTCTTTCCATTCCATTATCAAACCGTATGCTGGTACTTACACAGTGGTGCCGAGAACGGTAGCGAGGTTGCCGTAGACGATAAAGTCAGCCTCGGATGGGCGCTGGCCGCCCAGAATCCAGAACGGCTCCCGGGACTCCCGCGAATCGAGACTCAGCTTCGACAGTGAGGTCTCGCAGAAGCCGTTCAGGGACATGACAACGTCGGTGGCGAAGGCCTTGACCTCCTCATCGGAGTAGCGGCCGACGCCCTGGAACCACAGCTGCGAGTTAACGTAGCCGCGAGCCGCCTGGGTAGAGATCTGCTTGGCGCCCCAAACGAAGTGGGAGAAGGGACCATCGTGCCACATCATCTCATACTGGCCGCGCCATCTCTCGTACAACTGCGGTGAGTGTTAGCATAGGCCCCTATACCCTTCACTGTCATATTGTAGGTTCTTCTTACAATGAGGAAGTAGGCGCGGTCCTCCAGCATGGCCCGGATGCAAGCATCCTTGGCCTGGTCGGAGGGGGAGAGCTCTTTGTTGAGGTCCTGGAGCTTGCCGGTCTGCACGAGACGCTTGATGATGAACTGCGACTCGCCGACAAGCTCGTCCGAGTCGGCAAGCTTGACGTAGGGCACCCGATACTTGGGTGCCTGGAAGATGTTGGCAGCGCGGTCTACGTGCTGAATTCCGGCATGGCGAAGGCGAAGACGCAATTGAATCGAAAAGGGTGTGTATCCGTACTGGCCGGTAGGGCGATCGAAGCTGTAGATGATCAGGTCGTGTCCAACTCCCTTCTCCACTGCGGCCTCGTCCTCGGCAGCTTCCCTAAGCTTGCGCGGGAGGTAGCGCTTAAGAGCCAAAGCATTCTGCTTGGCGTTCTGGGCTCCTGCGGGCGCGGTCTTCTTTGCCATGTTGAATAATGCGAACGGGGGGTATATGGGTATCTTTGGGGGGTATCTCTGGGTATTCAATGAATAACTAACTGTTCTATGCTGCAGCCGATCACAAGAGGCTTCTAGCTGTATTATTTATTGTTTTCGATACAGCTTCGGAAGGTGTTCGACGCGGACGGCCAGCTCGGAGCTGCTGGAGCTTTACAACATGGTAGGTGCTGGTGGCAATGCAATGGAAGCCCTTGGCTCCCGAAACATGGCCCGAGTCAGACCGACAAGGAAAGCGAGGACATAGCTGAAATATCCCAAGTCTGTTTTGCATGAATGCAAAATCAGACGGATTATTGCAAGTGGATGGAAGAGAAGCCTCGCAAAGAAAGAATCTGATATCGGCCACGTCATAGCTGTTCCATGTTGAGTTGGTGGACAAGCCTAAGGACGAGGCTAAAGGGATGCGAAGTGGTGGTGTCTGAATATGCATCTGGATTTGAGCATAACCCCAACTTGTTTGTAGGGATATCGCGGCCATCCTGTAGCCTCGTCTTCCCGGCCAGTTTTTGAGCTCCGTGGCCGTTGCAGTTCCTACCCGCTCAATCGCCAAACCACCTGACCCCAGGTTTATGCCCAACTCAAACCTAAAACACAGTCACCGTGTTAACATGATCGTTCTTGAGTACCTCAAACACGAGACCGGGGAATCCAAATAGAGTAGTGGTTGAATCGTCGCTACCATCGAATCTCTTGGCGCCACTGTCCTCCCAACCTCCAAGAAACTCGCAGCTGCTGCCGGGGCTATCTCCCCAGCCCCTATTGAGCACCATGCCTCTTTGGGGGGCTCGGGAGTCGCCATCAGGGTACGCGCTGTTCCACCGTTCGTTCAGTCTATCTTTGATCTCGGTGAACTTGGTCTCTGAGTTTGCCGCCGCACCGGGAGAGCCATCGTCAAGATAGCTTACCTCCCAACGGCAGCGACGGTGTCTGTTGAACTCATATGACCCAGGCACATTGCCATGGAGGACCAGCTTTGTTGCAACTAGACGATCAGGAGACTCCGACTTGATGGGCTTTCCTGGTGTCACTTGAGACTCGTGCTGAGAAGGCGGTGGTCTCGAGGGAGGCGAGGGAGTGGACACCAACACATCAAATCCTAAATAGAAGTAATTGTAGAAACACTCGCCAGAAACGTTTCCGGCGATGTCTTCTTCGATGGCTTCATCGTTGGAGTCGTCTGAGCCAGTATTGGCAGATGATTGGTCAGTGTCAGTAAGATCGTCTGGCCGACTCAAGTCAGCGCCGTTTGACCGAGCTCTGCTGTGGCTCGCCGTCCGAAGCTTGTGTATTGTCATTCTCTGGTCGTTCTTCCGATAAGTAGCGTTCGGGGGACCGAGCTCGGCAATCAGCTCCTGTGGGCTTGTCTCTCCCAGGATAATCCAAAGTGATGAGTTGGTCCACTTGCGGAACAGCTGGAGCTTTCCACCACCATGAATCTTAACCAGCGAGATTTCGTCGGGAACGACATCCTTCCCCCTTGGAAGAACGGGAACCGTCTTGACACTCGGGAGAGCCTCTGTCCAAAGGCTCTCTCGAGCTTGGGCCCACGAGTCACCGCTGAAGACAGCCATGGATGTGGGCACCTGGCTTGTCGCAGCAGACAGGAGCGACACGACATCCTTATTGGGCGAGTATGCGGATTCGGCCAGTCGGAAAGTAAAGGCAACGCCAGGGTAGGACAGTATGTAGTTACCCAGGTTATCGGAGGAATCGGGTGTAGGGGGTATGTACTCTCCACCGTAGGTTGGTCCGAGCAACCGGTGGTAGATTTGTCGGAAGGTTGGGCCGGAGGTAGATTCTCCGGGAACTGGAGACGATGGCGGTCCCTGCGCGTTGGCGGGTTTGACGAGATCACGGTCCTTAAACGTGACATGATTCTTGGTAAAGTCGACGATCTCTATCAAGCGCAGACGCTGTTCCGGTCCGTCGAATCGTAGTCGTATTCCGTTGGCAGGGAGGCTGAGGGTTACGGGCTGTTCAACGGGTTGCTCGCGGGAGTAGGCAAGGTCGAGTTGTGGAAAACGTTGCGGTTCGGCCTTCAGTCGCGTCAAGACATCATGCAAGGACGCTCCAAGAACTAAGCGACAATCAATAGAGTTAGCGTCCGAGTGTGTACTGTAGCAGGCAGAGTTCATGCAAACCGAGAAACCCCAGAGCTCGTCCTGGGTGCAGTTGCGCAGTGAAGAGCGACATGATGAGCAATAGGATCGGGGCTCAGCGCGGGGTCCGCTGAGTGTTCAGGGCGGTGTTGTTGCAGGAACTCCGTCGGGTTCTAGAATGGATATGGTGAAATAAGAAGTGTCTATTGATCGTTTGCGTAATGTCTTGCGCAGAGGAGTTGTGGATGGATGAAGGAGAGTGCTCTGAGAGGCAGCAGTATAGACGGCGCAAGTTGTTCTCCTGTCGTTGTTCACGGGTCTGTCAGAGGGGTTCATGTGATGCTGCAGCAGTGACAACGGACTAGCGGGGCGTGGGGTCGGAATGAGACGTCACTCGCTTATCAGAGGTACAAGGTACGAGATAGGACCATTGGAGCGAATCAGCATCATCAACGGGAAGGTGCAGCAGATCCACATGCAGGGGCCATCAGCTCTTATCTAATCAGCAGGCAAGCTCCAACGGAACCCAGTCAGAAGTCACAGAACCAGTGGAGGATGGGGAAGCTGTTGGGGACTACCTATTTAAGCTTCCTTCCGCTGCAAACGATAAGTCACGATCAAGGTACCAGGGCAACTCACATCTGAGACGCTGGAAGGCAAAAACATGGCCAGGAAAGAACACTTGAGAAAGCACTCGCCAGGCCAGATATTTCCAGCCCGCTTCAGTATATCTTTCTTGCCTAAGGCAACTGGATCTTTGAAATCCTATTAGCAAGGCACACGCGGGGAAACCAGTGAATCTGTTACCTGGCACCAACATCATCTTAAGTTAATGCAAACGCAACCTTGGCTCGTCGGGGAACCGCCTCTTCCATTCGCTTGCAAGGTTTCAGCATCATCAAGAATCTCTTCTGCACACGAACTACAATCACCAGAAGCCAATAGACAGAGCTTGCCAAGGCCAGGACATATGCCACCGGACATACCTCCGGGAGGTCTCTCCAGCCTCTCCTCAAGCGAGGCTTCCGGCTTCTCCACCTTGTTCCTTACTGTCTCCGCATGGAAACTATCCCGTCTCTGCAACAAGTGTGCTTGCAACAGCCAACAAGATACTCCATTCGGTAGATCTCGCTCTCTCGCCTGAAGTTGAGCACGGAGAAGCCTCCAAGGCCTGATACCCACAGACCTTCGTTCGACGAACTCTCACTCTGTTTCACCTATTCTTGTTAGTTCAATCTACTGCTTTACAAGGATGAGCCATAGTCTCGCATACTTCTCACGCCATTCAATCAACCTCCTGACCAACCCTCCCTCCACTACGGCTCGCTCGGAATTGAGATCGCCAAATGAGGTCCTGTACACCTCTTTGTACTCAAAATGAGGCCTGAACTAGATCACAGGCCATTTTCGTCCGCCTATCGCCAGTTCGATTCCATCAATCTCATACTGAGAGTCTTACCGCTGCTGTCACTGTCTCAAGCAGTGTCTTGGCTTACTCTTCGTTTTCTCTAATTAATGGGAACCTAATGTGCTGCCAAGACCCACGAAGTACATCAACGGAAGCGCAAGGCGTTAATCTCCAAATTTTCGCCTCGTACATAGCTCCCGCTGGATTTATGCCACGATCGGTTTGCCGCGGGACTCGTACCTCGCCTTCGGATTCGCCCTGCCTTCCAATTGACTTTGCTGCGCCTCTCGGAATAGGTCTTGAGAGCGGTTCTCGCTTGTTGTAGCGAGTGCTGCTGCTCTTCAGAGATCAGAACTAGAACCAAGTGAAGCTCCAGGAGTTATGGCTGTTTTGCCTGGCCTTGTCTGGGTGTACACCAGTTTATACCCAGGAGCAGCGGTGACAGCCTTCTGGTTGTCAATCGACTAACGAATCCTATCAATCTCGAAGTAATGGCTAATCGTTAGCAAACTCGTCGATGCCTATACTCCCAGAAGATTGACACTCGATCAGACTATCACGCTTACCCGTTGCGAGCACAGTGATGGATTCGACAGCAGGGTATGCTCAGTGTTCACTTCGCAAAAGCTGGCAGACGACTGAGGATGAGCGAACAACTTTCCCGCGAGTCCGATCAATCACATCACGCAGCAGCATGACTATCAACGTTGATCTGTGGTTCTAGAAGTTACGGGGTCAGCATGCACGATCCGCCTAAACCCCATCGCTCGGTCTCATCGCATTCCCGCCATTTGGGTGCTTCTCTGCATCTTCTGGATCACGATACTTCAGGCGATTTTCGTCAAAACTTGCAACAAATGCGGCCTTCCCGATCCGGGGTATCTTGCCAGTTCTCGCGGTCTGAAATTTCCCGCGCTAGGCCTCATCATGCCGCCGGGTTGAAAAATACAAGGAAATTTGAGATGTCTGTGAGCTACTCTATGGTCATTCTCCTCCGACAGATATTTTTACTAACTTGGCCAAACACAAGGCTGACAACTTCCACGGCAGATGGGCCGGCTTCATAATCATTGCTTGACTCGGCCGAGGTCTTCAAGAATTGTTGGGCGTGCCCGCCTTTGTCACTATTATTGATCTTTATTCTTCTTCTTGAAATATGAAGATGGATCTTGCAGATTATTGCCGGCGTCAGCGGACAGTTTCAAGACTGCAAGTGGGCCAACCGTGCGACCACGCACAGATATGGCCTCAGAGATGGCACGTCCCAGTTCACTCGCCCTATGCTCTACGGACCACTGGGATCAAATCCCATTGCATACCTCAACGTCGAACTCACATTCATGCCAAATGCAGGCGCCTCTATGCCCAATGACATTAGGGCTTGTATCCGGCCGAGGATCAGGAACAGCGCAGCCGACCCTCAGATACCCCAGGGCCTGACATGTTGGAAAAATGAAGATCATTGACATACAAATATGCTGTCCGGCGGAGCGAGTCGAGCACTAAACAAGGATTGCAGCCCTGTTGAAGGAACTAAGCCGCTTCGAACGG